CAGAGAGCTTTCATTCTTATACGAGCGCCAAACAAATGCCTAAATGTTTTGGCGGTGGCCGCTTGCAAATCAAGGTGTCTACATACACTGTAGCCTTTCTCATATCACACATAGTCACACAGCTGACGGTTGAAGTAAAGGAAGCTTCAAAGGCTGTGACCGACATCGAGCGGCGCATCATCAGAACTGGATTGGGACACCGTGAGACAGGAACATGACCAGGGCACCATTAGAGATCGCCGTAACCGGACCGATTCTGTGATAGGAGACATGCTTCATCCAAATATACACGAGTTGTACAGCTTCAAGGATCGTGCGCGCTTACCTTCAATCCCAAGCGCACTCTCCTACTAACGCGCTGCGGCCGCCAAGTTTGACGCGAACGAGTGTGTGAAGAGAATGGCGTACGTGGACATATATGCGCGGGCGTAAACGTGTAGACAGACACAAGTAAACGTATGAGGCCATATGCGTCGCAATGACATATCTTTTTTCATTGTATGGCGGGCAATATCGTTTACACCCACAACTTTGCGGAGCAGCTGTTTCAAGAGTTGCTTCCACATGCAAAGGCCGGTTTCTGACAGTGACAAGCGTATCTATTTCAACGCAGTAGGTTTTCCGCAGCTGGCTCATTTTCAAGAATATGTTAACACATCCAGTTATCACCGTGGAATCATCTAGAGACCCCACAAAGGTGCAGTCGCCCGTTTCCTGTTGCCCACAGGGTGATAATAGCATGGGGCTATGAAAGGCTCCATCATATACATGTATTATACTATTAAAACCTTTTAAATCATGAGATATAAGATATCCTGTGTTTGTCTATCATCTCACCACCGTATACAGATGGCTTGCCATTGCGGTACAAGCTCAGAAGCCGAAGCCGTGAAGGCGGCGCCACTTTCCGCATGCTTTGGATTTTTGGCGGAGTAGGCAGATAACCGCCGGTCACCTTGACCGAGTGCGAAGTGCAGCGATCATCTTACTGTCGCGCAAAAAGAAATACGCTGCGCTTTGAAAGCAAAGCTGTACTTAACGTCCTTGCAAATTATTTGCAGGTCTATTGAAGAGAGTTCGATCGCATTATACCAATTATTCCCTGCCACGAGTGGGGAGGTCCCACTCCCCTTACTCGCCCTGTGACGATGTTCATTTTGGACATCGTCCCGGCCGGGCTGTTCGGTCACTCAGCGTTGCAGCGTCCGGACCATGGGCAACTAGTCTCCAATAGTCTTCCTGCGCACTGAACTGAACTAAGCAAGCGTGTGTTAAGCCTTTCGTCAACACACTTGCCAAGACATTGATGCTCATTGCATCGCCAAGGCTTGCGTCCGTGCGCGCAGGAAGCTTGTGTTCCTCAGCCGCCCTTTGCGTGGCTCTCACAACTTTCTTTGGCACTCCTTGTCACGCAGGAGCTTCCTCAAGAAGCAAGCGGCGCCGAAGCTTTGGGATATAATATCCTCCCTGTCCCAAGCCGTGCGCGGCGCGCCGTTTGTCATCACTGCTTGGAATTTTCCCGAACATCCCTTGCTCACTCCCCATCTTGGAACCCAAAAGTCGCGCGTTGTTTAATTGCGTGTTTCAAAGCCCTTCAGCCCCTGACGGCAACAGAAAGTTACAGTTTTCAATGCTTCCGACGACGACCCTCAATTGTCAATCAATGTCAGGCAACTCTGACAGTAGTGGCTGGCAGCGCGACATCGACTCCTATTTTTGGAAAGTATAGCTGATCTCATGTGGGCAGCAGCAAAGTGTTCCAGAGTGAGCTGACCGTAGTCAGTCACAATTTGTCCGTAGACACTCTCATGGGGTGACGAGTGTCCGTAGACTTCCTTGTCTGTTTTTCTTACCAACGTGTCCGTAGACTTCAAGTCAAGTCAGTCCGCAGACATTTTCCTGATGGGTCCGTAGACACTTAGTCTGTAGACTATAATTTTCACCTGTCCGTAGACAAGCGCAGATCTGTCCTTAGACAGACTAGTTTGTTACATCCGTGGACATCAAGTCAATACCTCCTTAGAGGTTCATTCAATTTGGTCCGTGGACATTGGATCACAATCAGACCTGTCCGTAGACAAGTCCAACGTGTCCTTCAACATTGATGGCCATTGGGGGGGGAGAGGCTAAGATTCCATGGCAAGGTGAACAGGATGCAGCTGCGGTGACAAAACGTTTTGAAAAAAACCTGCCGATGCGCTGTGAAAGTTCAGCCAGGAGGTTGCAATGAGTTCAAGGTGTCGAAGTTGGACTTATCACCACAATCCCCACATATTTTCATTCAAACAAAGGAAAGAGACATAACATTTGTATAGTATGGGGTGGGCGACCTTACTCTACTATGCTTTGAGTTGTTCTTTCTGTAAACATTCAACGTACGGATATCACCTGGGAAGCTGGGCAACACTATTCCGCTGAAAAGAAAATATATGTCATATTATGTCATATAGTAGTTAGATTGAGACAAACGTAGGACCAATACCAACCAGATCTGTCAACGCATGGATGTGAATGACTCAGGTGGATTGTTTTGATAAAACAATTAGATATGGTCACAGTGTCAGGACCAGCTTCATTGTCATACATTGGATAGTTTCAGGACACCAAACCAATGAATGGTCACAATGCTGACCAGACAGTACTTTGACGGCGCGCGCGCCTATTCCTCAACTTAGCAACACCTTCTGCTTGAATAGCGCCATCTTGCGCACCTTATTACTCAACTTAGCAACAAAGAAGACCCCAAGAGCAACCAAGCAACTGCTAAACAACGCCAGGACTTTTAGTCACTTGCTGGTTGTTGCGTTTGCGGCTTTCTTGAGAACAGGTGAGCTTCTAGAGTTGAAGCGGGAACATGTAACATTGGGAAAGGATAAGGCCATCTTGTTCCTTCCAACGTCAAAGGGAGCAAAGAGAACATTCATTCCTTTGGAAAGGGTAGAACTCACGGAGTCTACCTGCCTTAAGTCGTTGAAGCACCTGCTCAAGAACAACAAGTCTGGAACATTTTGGAAAGGTAGCCGCTATGAATTTTGGAAAGGCGACGTGAGGTAGTGGCTTCGCTACACCTAGATTCTTTCTACTTTAAACCGTGCAGCCTTAGGAGGTGGTGCCTCTACAGCTTATAGGAATGGCGCCTCTAGTGACCAATTGCTCACCAAAGGACGCTGGTCCTGTGCTAGTCCAGCTAGGATATATTTAGATACGGCATTGCAAGCCCTGATCACGCTCACTTTGCCCCCCCCTGTCCCAACGCCCTGTTCGTCGTGCTCTTGAAGACTTCTTTAAATTCCATTGAGCCAGTCAGGAGCGCGTGGAAGGGAGCCATAGGTGCTTGGTAAAGGTATGGTCGGGCTTGAATGCCTTTCAGTCATAAGGCACGGGCTGATTTGACAAAAAGCAAGCTGGGGTTCATACAAGTGCATATATATATATATATATTTATGTATGGATATAATTTCGAAGAAGCGGGGGACAGCCCAAGCAGACCAACCTGCCTTAGGGAGACAACTGCGTAAACCATTTTGCAGGCTTGTCGTTTTGTATTCGACTCTACGGCAGACTATAGCAACCATCCGAGGAAGACAGCAAAGAGCCGTTGCCGGGTCGCCAGAGTGCCGGAGTTTTGAAGCAGCGCCTGTCCTGCTCGTTTTGCTTGTTCTTGTTTGGAGATTCCCTTCCAGCTCAATTGCCAGGTTCAGAGCTGCTGGAAATAGTTCGGGCTGCTGCTGCAAATGCTTTGGGCCGATCTGACATTGATGTGGACACAGTGCTGGTGCGCTCTGCCGAGCCTTCGAGTAGTGTGCAGGGATTAGAAGGTTCTAGTCCCAGGTTGGTGGTCTTCTTGATATCGAAGCGTTTGAGTTCAGCTAACCCATTCCGAAAGGCTGGGAGCCTGGGCTTGGATTCTGCAGCCGTCACAGCCCTTGTCGCCCTTTGTGGCACATTATTTATGCTCCGAGGAAACACCAACTGGTTGACTCAAACAAATGCCTTTCTTTCTTTGAGAAAGTAGGCTGCTATTTCATGCTATTTATTTATATATATATATGGTACCCCCCCAAGGTTTTCACCCAGAACTGGACACTGCTTCACAATATGCCTTGCAAGCCAAAGAAGGTAGTCTTGGGGGGGGTAGCATATATATATATAATATTTACATAGTTGAACCAGTCAGTAATTGCTTTGCTCCAAGGCTCTTCGTTTTGCTCACGCCATTGAGAAACAGCTCGACACAGGCGACTAGTCGCGAAAAGGGACGCGACTGAAGCGGCGACCATGGAATGTGCAGGCGGTCGACGGCTGCCGGCAACCCTGGTTTTCGACTATCCCAGTGTTGCAGAGATTGTGGACAAAGGCTTGATTGCAGTGTGACTGATACCCTGTGACAGAGGTAGTTGATGCCCTGTTGCCTGTTGCACAGGACTGCCACGCTTTCTAAACGGCATCCTTCCTGAGCATGGGCTACCTGAGCAAGCTGCCAAGGTGTTGATCTACTATATTAATGTGTATATATATATATAAACACATACACACTGTAGAATGTCAGGCAATTCTTGGGTTTGTCAGGGTTGTGTAGACTGATTTCAAAGCTGCTTGTGTCATGGTCGCATGTACCAGCATGGACCAGTTTGGAGCCTGCGAAAGCCTGCATTCTTGTCAAACATGCTTGGTTAAACGGTTCAATCGTAAGCCCAAAAACCCTAGAGCGATTGCAGGCTCCTGAGACTCTGATCTCATCATCCAGTTGGGAGTTGCCGGGTGCACATGATCTGGAGGCGAGCTCAGCCCCCATGTTGTCTCCGAAGGGTCGAACCATGTCGAACCAATCCAAATACCATTGCCCAAGCGGTACGAGCCAATTGGTACGATGGCAGTCTTTGAGGTGCTTTGGTCCAGGCTCCAGCAAGAGGCACCGTGGAGCTTAGACGCAGCCCACATGGAATTTGTGTAAGCCTTTAAGAAAACCGTGGGGCTGTCCGTGGAAGGTTGATGAAGTCCAGGAAATCCCACTGTGCAGGACAGGGTGATCAATTCCAATGAATGTCTTGAGTTGCTTTGAGCCTCAGGTGGGACTGGACAGAAGCCACTTCAATGGTAGGCCGAGAGCTTAAAAGATCGAGCACACACACACACAAACCTGTTTTGGACAGTAAAGATGGATCCCAAACTCATACTACGGGGATCTACGGGGCACGGATGGGCACGGGGAATTGAAAGACATAAGACATGACATTCAATGATACTCTGTGTGGATCTGCGTTGCATTCTGTGGGTCTATACAACTATGTCTAACTGGTCCCATTGAGCTCCAGTTGGTAGGTGTCCGACATGGCAGCTTCATCGAGGGTGCCGACCAATTCGATGCAAGTTTTTTCGGTGAGACGCTCAGCAACAAATTGAACCACGCTCAATTCTGCTCCAGCTTTGAAGTATCAGCCAATCTTTTCATAAAGAATCCTGCTCCATCCCAAGTGATCAATGTGATCCTCTTCCACTGTTTGCAGGTCTTTCGCCTGCCGAAACGCAAGTCTTGGCCCCAGAGAGGGACGGCAGAATGTGCTCCGTCAATGGAGTCGATGTCCAGGCCCAAGATCCACAGCAGCGACTCGTGCATCACAGCCGCGCTTTGGAGAAGATGGGCATGTCGAACCGGGAGATCCCCAAGTGCCACTACTAACTGAGCACGCCTTATTTATTGATATTCATTTTTTTTGCATATATCTTAAAATAGTTTAAACATGTTTAAACAATCTTAGAAGGGAATCCTCACTTTGAGACATTCATATACCATTGTGGTATTGTCATTTTGGATCATTTTAGGTATGTCGCAGATGAAATCACATCCAGATCCGGAACTGGGCCAGGCTATCGACGTCTTACAAGGCGTTGGCAGCCGCCGGTCACGACCAGGCTCTCCGAAGGATTTTTCACACGAGTGACTCGGGGATGCTCGGGGATCCAAGGGACGCGCGTGCTTTCAGGGGACGCTCCAAGGGGCGCCAATGTCAATTTTCGTTGCTTTAAGCAACCAGGACACAGAGCCGAGTCCTGTGTCGTTGGAAGTCAAACTGAGTTCGAAGTCGCCTCCGAAGTTGGCAGGACTGGTATCACTGGTCTCTAAACGCGACTCCGACCGCATACACAGGCCCTGAACTCGAGCTAGGTCGCAAATGGTTGGGGAAGCGGAAATTGGTCAATGTGCAAACATGTCGTGTGGACGCTGACCAAAGAGCAAGGGCGGGGACTGAACCGAACCGTAGGAGTTCCACGAGAGAACTGCCAGGCACTGGAGTGTCTGCTGCTTTAGCAGCGAATCGGATTTCTTTTGCGCTGGGCTTGCGCGGGACCAGTGCCACCATCGATACTGCATGTGCAGCCGACATGTGTTGAAGCTTGGAGCAATGCTTATATAGGCTTTTCAAGTCAAACAGGAACGACCTTCATTCGATCTTCCATGCATGCACATAGTGCAGGTTCTTCGTCTTTGACATCTATACAAGCAGCTGCAGAGAGTCTTCAACGCCCCTCGCGACGTGCAGGCACGCCAATCCACGATGGTCGTAGATTCACCAGATTCACGACCAGAACTGGTCGTTTCCTTGCAGATCTGTTGAGTCAATCAAACCTTCGGTTCCATGTGCCTTTGCCAGTGATTTCCTGTGTAGCTGGAGGTCCTGCATGCAGAAGAAGACTAAGGGAATCCGCAGGAGCCTTCGTTGTTTGAGAGAACTTTCCTCAAAGGACCAATCATTTTTCAGTGAGGTCGCCGCTGGCTGTGAGCTATTGTCCACCGCTCAGCTCGGGCTGACCAATATTTGATATGCTTCTGATGGTGACTTACAGCGTCAATGCTTCCTTCAGACTTGGGCCAAACTCTGTACTTCTTCGGTCATCTGCCAGCATGCTATCGCCAGACTCTTAGCACCGAGAACACATTCGCCAAGCTTGTCAATTCCAAACTGAACAGGCCAACCGGGCGTTGCCAAACCTTCAATGCCACGGCCGACGGATACGTCAGGACTGACCGGAAAGGATTCTGAAACTGCTTGGCATGGAGTTTGATGCTTGGCCAAGTCCGAGTGAATGTGCTTGGCCGAGATTAGAGTGCTACTTGAAGATAGAAGGAAGATCATGCGCAAGAGTTGGTCAACCCTGGGTTGCTTGCAGGGGCGAAGGCTCTGGGGCCCGGAATCTTGGATATTTTTTTAAGTCTTCACTTGCAAGAGTGCTGCCATAGAGATCAATGAATGAGTACTGGTGCTATGTCGGAATGAGAGAGTCACCCCATTCAAGCAGGGTTGCGAAGCACATCTCACAACCAAATCGCTCTTGTTTCTAAGGCTATCCTGCTGACATTGGGAGAGGATCCATCTTGGGCTGGAAGCCAGGTGCCACTTCTCAACGGCCCGTTGTTCGTTGTTGCAAAAGTGCTGGCCGATGCTGGAAGCTGACTCGGAGTAGCCTGACTAGCCGTGCTTGCAGTGAATTGCCTGCCAAACTGGAACACATGGATGATCATGGATAAGTATTCGCATTAGATTGTAGCGGGAACAGTAATATGGCAAAAACCGTTTGGTCAGTGGAGGGTCTCCCCCTATTGTAGTGCACCCACAGAAAGACAGACGGGACGGCGGGTCGTTTGGAAGGTCATGCTGTGTGCATCGACCACAAACCAGGAGCACCAATCGCTGGCATGTTGTCGGGGTTTCGAGGGTTCCTGTCTCTCACGTGAGAGGATGGGCGCAGCACGAGTCTTACTGCACCAAATGGGCAGGCGCAACAGGAGGCCGGAAGAGACAAAGCCAGACAGAGAGCAGCTCAGTATGTCCGGATTTGTGTTCCTTCTGACTGAAGTGAAGTGGGCCAGTTTCCAAACACAGAGTGGAGGTGTTGCTTGATGCTTTGTGGCAGCAGCCCCAGTATCAATAGTTTATTTTGGCTTGATCCTTCGGATGAACCATGCAGGATGGCGGCAGTGCCTGCAGCTGCTGTCAGCTTCGTGGAATGCCATGGAACGGGGACAGCTCTGGGAGATCCCATTGAGGTTGGAAGATCCGATTCCCAAACAGTTCCTGTTCCATGCTGCAAGCTTTTGCAAGAAAATCAAACATGGAAAGGCCTGCCAATCTAACAAGACTTGAGAATCAGGTTGGAGCTTTGCGAAGAGTCTTGGGAGCGCACAAAGAGGTCGGGAAGTTTCAACCAGTCAGCCTGTGAAAAAGAAAGTGTTGAGGAGAAGCTATGGCTTGCTGCTGGAAAGAGCAACATGGGTCATTTAGAGGCGCGATCTTCTGAAGGTGTCCCTTTTATTGCAAGCTTCTTTGAGACTTTGTCATGATTTGTTACTGTCATACCAGGCAGCAGCTGGATTGGCAGGTCTTGCCAAGGCCCGCTAGCCGCTAGCCTCCACATGCCCCGATTTGCTTTAGCAGACGTGTTTGAAGGCCATGTGTTGTCTGCTTCATCGGGCTGTTCCGCCAAACCTGCACTTTGCATCGCTGAACCCCCACATTGAGCTGGACAAATCATGCCTGGCGGTGCCGTGCGGAGTGGCTTTGTCCCAAACGTTCACAGCGCTTGTGAACTTGAAACAATCTTTGCAATTCTAGACTCTAGACCCGACCAATTTCACATCCACTCTTTTTTTTTTGATGTGCGCTTTGGTCAGTATTGTGGTTTGCATTTTTTGCACAAGCATGGCTCGTGCAAACTGTCATCTCTGCCTGAGAAAGGATGAACACTTGGTTTCAGAAAGTATGGGACTTTTAGGTGAGCCAGCTCTCGCAATCTGGACAGATGATTGCAGGCGCGTGGCGAAAAGTCGCGTTTTGCCTCTTTGGATATCACGGATAGTCTCGGGTCCAGATGGTCCGATTGTCGCAGTTGAGAGCATTTGCTGGGCCAGGTTTGTCATCGTTTGGCTTTGGTGGAACCAATGCACATGCTCCTTGTCTTGAGTCGCTGAAGATGAGCATCAATCAGGGTGTGTCAGAACTGTTGTGCCAACCTCCACTGGCAGCGTTATGGCTTACAACAAGTCCACTGGGTTTGCTACACAAGTGCTACGCAAATGCTTGACTTTAGGCACTCTTGAGAGTTGCCTCCCAAGCTCGTGAACATCTCAGCCATAAAGCACCAGGAGAGCGGGGACAGCGGGGACAGCGGGGAGTGGAATAGTAGCTTTATTGTTCTTAGTAGTAAGGCCCGGAGCAGTAGCTTCTTGTAAGGCCCAGAACCTGTTGCTTGCATGAAAGCAGCCGCCTGAGACACCACCTTGCAGCACAATGATGTCAGCGGCACGTCAAGTTGTCATTCAATATGCTCTTTGAACTGAGGTTGCCATGCTTTTCACTGGCCACAATCGCTTCAGGCAAGCACGGAAGATGTTTTGAAGAAAGGCTGTAACTATGAGCCAGAAGAGATGCACGATTGACCAAGTCTCTAACCACTGAGACACTGGAGAAACGTGCCACTCCGTCACGTGGCTCCAGTTGATGGGATGATGGCTTTACTTCAGGCCTGGACAATTCCAGGAGTTATACACCGCGAATACGGCCTTTCGTGTTGCAATGGATCGATGCGTCTATAGCTTAGAACCACAAAGTAATTGCAAAGTTTGAGCCTTTCCAAAAGAGCTACAGTATGTAAAATGATGTAACATGTTTACATTAAAATTGCCTGACAGCCTGAATTGTTTGGATCTTGAGGCGAAGCTTTGTTCTTCTTATTTGGAGCATTCGCTGTTGGACGTCCTTTTTTCAGCCCTAGCCTTTGACAGATCAAGCCGTTTCCCTCGGCCTCACCCTCCCACTTCCCAGCGCTGAGGCAGAGGATCCGATGGGACGATTAAGAGATGGCCTGAGAGATTGGAGCATCCAATCATGGCACAAGTTTTCAGGGTACTTCAATGTAGTTCAACATTAACTCAACCATTTCAGCATTGAAGCCCAGGTTCTTCTGCTTTGTATTCCTTTACAGCTACTTTCTGTCTACAGTATGCTATGGCGTGGTACTGAAGAGAATCTTCTCAGATTGAACGCGAACCAGTGCATTTTGCTGCCAGGTGGATATGTGGCAAGCTCGTGGGGTACGGCCAGTGGCAGTGCTTGGGCATAGCCTTCACCTTGGGCTTGGTCACAGTACCGTAGAAAGTTCAAAAACACTTCAACAGTGCTTGTCCTCACCAAGCGCTTTCGTGGCTTGATCGAGATGTGTGTTCAGGTCTCGGAGAGTTCGCAGCAGCCGTAAGTGCTGGAGCTGCTGCCTCAAGCCTTTGTAGCGCCTCAAGCTTTAAGCATGCTAGGAGGTGGGCCGTTGAGGGATCGCCTTTGCTTGCTTGTTTGATATGATATGAGTCAGGTCTTCTCTCTGGAAGACGGGCCTTATACTCAGAATCTGCCAGTTCTGCAAAAGTTATTCTGGCTCCCCCATTTGCATCCAGCAGTTCTGCCTTTTGCGATAGTCAAGCCTCGTGGACAGACTGGAACCATAACGATAGGTTGCGCTTGGTGGCTGCAAGAGGCCGACTTCTTGATGAAAAGTCCGAACCTCGAGAACCTCGAAATCCAACTTCGATACATCGAAATCGTAAGGGCAATTTAAGGCAGAATTGCATCAACAGGTGTCCATTTGGTGTGATGGCAACATGTGGTGTCAGGTGCAGCAAAGACGAGGGCCGCATGGCTGCGATTTTTGCGCCTGCCAATGAGGCAGGGGTGGTGTTTGCGTTGAGATGTCCAGAGAGTCTGCGCCACGTAGGTCCAAGCCATTGTGGTCTGAGCCTCGGAAAAATGGGCATCTTCGTTTTTGGATGTCTTGGTTTCATGCGAAATCTGCAGGATGAATACCAAGATCTATCAGTTTCTGGCATCAACAGCCCATGCCAAACAGCCGGAATCTCATGCTCAATAGAGCGGGACAGAAGACATGAGAATTCATGAGAACGGGTCCAAGTCTTTTGCTTCCTTCTTTTTGGTGAACACGGTGAACATCTCACCAAAGGTACAGTTCTTGGAAGAGTAAGACTCAGTGAGAGGATTTCACAACACTTGCTCTCAGGTGGTGTCGGGTCGAAAGGATCAGGTGGAGGATCGAGTTGAATCGAGTTCTGGAACAAAGAAAGTGCGTCGCATGTACCTCGGATGGCTGCAGGCGATTTGCAAGCGCTTCCCGGAGAAAAGCAAGATACTGGGATCGTCAAGCACCCAAGTTTCTGCCAAATTTCCAAAAAATGCTTGTCGCATCTTTGCATGGTGGTATCCCACAAGTAGTTCTTCTACCAGCGTAAGGATAGCTGACCGGTCGGAAGCTTTTTGGGCTCAGAAGTTTAGTTTGGCCAAAGTCTGCCGCTAACTGGAGATCGAAGTTTCAGTTGCCCAAAGATCTGACGGGTTTCAGGCAAGTGGAAGAGTTTGTGGCACATGTGGCGGTCAGACCAGAAATAGTTTGTTTGCCATTTGGATGCTGCGAGGCAACAATGATCTCTTGCAGCATCTCGCCTGTGAGTGCCAACGCCTTCCAGGCTCAAACATGTTTGGCAATCTTGTAACTATGTGGTGGATGACCAAAGGCACAAGGAAGAGATCTCGATGAAGAAGCAGTCAAGCTTCCCTGAACAAAATGTTTATCATAGAGAGGACTTGTTTGAGTGTAAAGGACATCAACCATCAACCCTTCGAAGCGGAGACATCTCTTGAGAACTGTTGCTTGTCGTAAACTTACAGTAATGGGTCTCACAAACAAGCTGTTCCATGCGACAAGACCCTCAAGACTAAGACAGGTTGAAGCACGAGCTGTGCAGAGGTTTCTGATGGTTTTTGTCTTCTTCTTATGTCACCACAGAAGGTCAATTCTTCTTTGGACCTTGAATGAACCTGGAAGTTTTCCGCCCTTAACCTTGGTTGCACAGCGCAACAGTCAGCAACAATATCATGCACTCAAATACAGGCCAATTCTCTCACAGAAGGATGTTCCCCAGCACTTAACATGCAACTTCTGAAACCACGATGTCTCCGCAAGTGTTTGTAGTTGATTTCAGTGGACATGTGCCAACCTTTTGCATGAACGTACTGTGTGTGTGTGTGCCCCTTGTAGTCACAGGGATCCACTCGGATTGTGTTTTTGTTTTTTGTTCAGCAGGGGGCTCTCGGAGCCTGCGTCAGACGAGAGCCAACGAAGACTCTCACGCAGTGCTTGTGTAAACGTACCTGCTTGGTGCACCTGGGCGCATTATAAGACGCAGCTGGTGGCCACTTTTTCCTTTTGTAAAGTGCTAATGCAGCTGCAGTCACGCACGGTACGCCGTCACCTTGTCGCGTTTCCGCAGTTCGAGTTCGTGGGCTTTGGAGGTTCCTTGGAAGGTTCTACAGTTACCACTTAACCTGAACCCTTGACCCTTAGGCATTCAAACCTAGGTGGGCGTGTGGCATGTGGCATTCAGTTCCGTACGCAAAATCATAAGTGTGTCTCTCCTAGTGAGAGCCCAGGGTGAGCCCGCAGAGTGCTTTTTGTGGACCCGTTGAACGGGGGTTTGTCGAACGTATCCCCTGCCCGGATACAAAGCTGCTCACAGCGAGCGTAGGTGGCCTAGGCCGAGAGAACGCAGATTTATGTCCAATTTCTTGAATTCCAAGCTGGCTCATGCCTTAACGTGACCGTAGCGGTCAAAGCTGCCAGCCATTTTGGCACGGCGTACGTGGCCGCAGCGGCCGAAGCTTGTGAAAGACTCGTTGGAGTCTGTCGGGACCTTAGTCCCTTCTTCCTCCCCCTACTCTCCCCCTTCTTCTCTCTTTGCCTGTTTGGGGTTTACCTGAATGTAACACTCAGGTTTACCCCTCTCCGTGGTGTGTCTCTGGACGCTTGCGCGTAGCTGGGAACACCTGTTGTCGTTCTTTTTCCTTTCTCCCTCTTCCTTCTTCTTTCAGGTGTCCCTGGATGCTTTCGTCATAGCTGGGAACCCTTCTCTTCCTCTCTTGGTGTGTCCTTGGACGCTTGTGTCGTAGCTGGCAACACCTCTTTTCCTTTCCTTTCTTTTCTTTCTTCTCTTCTCTCCCTACCCCTCCCTCGTGTCGGGACCTTAGAGTGGGACGCTACTAGGGGCTCCTGGCCTTACTACTAGGTGCAAGGACGCTACTAGGTACGAGCAGCCTCCCCTTGGGGAGGCGTGTGTGTGTGTGTGTGCCCCTTGTAGTCACAGGGATCCACTCGGATTGTGTTTTTGTTTTTTGTTCAGCAGGGAGCTCTCGGAGCCTGCGTCAGACGAGAGCCAACGAAGACTCTCACGCAGTGCTTGTGTAAACGTACCTGCTTGGTGCACCTGGGCGCATTATAAGACGCAGCTGGTGGCCACTTTTTCCTTTTGTAAAGTGCTAATGCAGCTGCAGTCACGCACGGTACGCCGTCACCTTATCGCGTTTCCGCAGTTCGAGTTCGTGGGCTTTGGAGGTTCCTTGGAAGGTTCTACAGTTACCACTTAACCTGAACCCTTAGGCATTCAAACCTAGGTGGGCGTGTGGCATGTGGCATTCAGTTCCGTACGCAAAATCAACAGTGTGTGAGACTCAAACATGTTGCCACTGTGATGCCCGATGCAGCCGGCCAGTAACAGTATATGCACTTGTGCAGCGGTCCCAGACGGCATCGTTTTGGCAACATAGACCCAGCTTTGGTGCCCAAAATTTGACCAAAGAGTCGGCTTTCCCTTTTGCAACGCACCCCGCGGCACTGGGTACTGTGGATATAATTTGATATATATATATATATTATCTGATATAATCTATCATATATATATATAATAACTTATATGTTTTTTCCTACATACTGTGTACACACGTATATGATCGCATCATACAACCATTATCACAGCACTTTACAATAAATCGCATCACGCCACATCATATGTACTGTGCCAAATGTACACATTATGATGTACCTTCACATCCAGCTTTGTGCCCGCCACGCCGTCACGCCGCCACGCCGCGTCAGGGTGTGCAGCTAGGTTCAGGCCTTGCAACTTCGAGTCAAGGCGAGTGGAAGAGAATAGATTTCGGACTCTGCCATCTCTAGGACAAGCTTTTCAGACCAGCTTGGGACGATGTTTACTTAAGGGGTGCGTACAACATGCCCTTTCCCCGAATTTTCTCGATGTCAGGAAAATTACGCCAGCCACAAGCAGCTTTGTGTGGAAATTGCAGCGCGCTCGCGCGGAAGGAGCTGAACTGGCGGTTTGGGGACGTTTTGGTCACCGAAACGATCATGGCATACGCGTGGCACACGGTGGTAATCTTTCAATCCGCGGAGCAAACAAAGCCGGCGAGTCTCGCGCGTCCTTTGAGTCTCCCGAAGGCAAGCTTTGGCTTCGTGGCCGGGCTTTGTGCACGTGTGCGGCAGCGAAACCGAGTTGCTACGTTGGTGGCAAGAGCTGACAAGGAGGAGCATGCAGTCGGGCACGTGAATCTTATAGTCTTGGAGTCTTCGAAGTGCAGGAATCTCCGGACATCAAGACTTCAGTGGATGTGGAGATCTTGTCCGACGAAAGCTTGAGGAGACGATTGGAGGCTGACAATGCAATGATGCATGTTGTTTCATGTCGTTTCTTCTACATGTGATGGCGCTTCCAGCTGTGCTTTGCTTTCATTTCGAAGAAAACTTGTTCCAAATGCTCTTCTCAGGCATCACTGGCCTTGCAGCAGCCAGCAGCTCTACCGCTCCTCGGACAGTGCTTAAACTTATACTTATGCATGCTCTACGTGAGCGCTTTACTGTAGGCTCGACCCGACCGTCGTGAGGTTTCTGCCTCCACCAAAGTACAGGGACTTCATCGTGAATTGTCCCGGGGATGCTGGCTTTGACCCTGCAAGCCTTGCTCGGGTGGCAGCCTTAGACCGCTTGTGGCGGTTTTGACCATTTATTACTTCAGACGACCCATGGTCGACACGACTTTGGGGTGAGTCAGACACACCTAAAAAGAGTTTGGGGTAGCAAACAGAGCTGAGGATTTGACCACTTTCAGATGGATGCAGGAATCAGAGCTGAAACATTCACGCATTGCTATGGTCTCTGTGGTGCTGTGGCCACTCTCAGAGCTAGACTGCTCCTTTCTGGACTTGGAAGGTGCAGGCTCTGGCAGTGTTGACAAGTGTTTTGGAACTTCACAGTAATCCCTCTAGATAAGACATGAGAGCACTGCGCAATAGCCCAATCCTTCGGGTGTGAGAAGATTGTTCACTCCAGGTGCACTACAGCACTTTCCTTTTGCTTTGGTCCTTGGGATGGGATCTTTAGCGGCTGCCATCCCAGAGATGTCAAAGATGCCCGAGTCTCCACCAGGGTACTATGGCTTTGACCCACTGAACTTGAAGGAGATTGTGTGTGTGTGTGTCACTTCCTGTTGCAAAGGACATACACAGTTCAAAATTTTAAAGGCAGGGGGTCGCTGGGGATTCGTGCAGTCAGCGACCAACGAAGACGCTGCACGTTTCCCGTGATATGAGTCAGGGACGCCTGACTCACGTACCTGCATTTGTGAAGGGTTACTGAGCTATGTTAAACATTGCTGTTCTCCGGACTCTTTCACCTTTCGGTTCTGCAAGTCAAGGTCTACTGCACCGGTAATGTAATGGCTAGGGGCTACCTTCACTGACTCAGCTCTTGCGAGCATCAATCTAAGTGTGTGTGTGTTTTTTTGTTGACAAAGGTGCCGTGGTAGTTTGCCGCGAAAGGTGCAGGAATCGAATTGGGTCTTTCGAGGCTTCTTAGACTAGAATTCACATGAACTCACATTGTGACCATCACTCTGTCAGCGTCTTCATGGATTCATCGACGAGACGTGTACCGTTGTGGAATTGTGGACTTGCCTTTAGGACTTCGAAATGCCAATGTCGTGCTGGCTGCCAAAGGGGCGGCGGTGGATGGCAGAAGCAGAACTAAAGCATGGACGCTTGGCAATGTTGGCATGCCTGGCCTTTGCCTTCATAGAGCTTTCGACCAAGGCCTGCGCGACATGTGACATGCATGCGACATGTGGTCATCTGTGACTTCGTGGGATGAGTGAAACACCGGGACAGCGTCCAACAAATCCTTTTGAGCAGGGATTTAGAATGGGATATCTAAGATATCTATATAAGTTGTTCATGAGCCAACTAAGTTCTGAGACAGGCTGGTTGACGCTTTGTATCTCGATGGCATGTGTGCTGGGATAGAAGGAGTCTCAGACTCTCAGAGGATATTTACTTGTGATGCCAGGTGCCAATTGTGAGACATGCACCGTTCCAGTGAGGAGTTCACGTAGATAGTGAAGCTTTCCTCTGAATGCGTGCTCCTGCATGACTCTGACGTTTGTTTCCTGTCACTCATTGCGTTGGTCATTCGAACCTTTGTTGCTTTGGCAATCTTTTTGACAAAGACTATATGGAGGTCGGAGCCGCGTTGCATTTAAGCTTCAATTAGTTCAATCTTTTTCTGGACTCTGTTCCTGGTGAGCAAGAGCCTCTGGCGAAGAGGAGAAATGTTGCTCAACCGGATGTTCCTAGCATGTTGGGCAACACGCGCCCTTGACACCCGCCAAAACATCACCCTACTTGGAGTCATGAGGATCTTGTCGCTGTTTTCGGTGTGTTTTTTGGTTTTAAGCAGTTTTTGGTGCGGTGTCAAAATTAGCGCCGGGCCGAGTTCCGGCAGTTGCCTCGTTCCGATGCGGCAGGTTGCAGTGCCGAAGTTTGAGTGGCTTCCAAAACCGAAGCTACGAAAACTGCGGAAGCTTCGCCATTTTATTGTAAATCTCAGAACTGCAAAAGCAAAGATCAACTTCTATTCAAGGATTTTTGGGTACACAAAAACAACTACTCAGGAACACTGTATTGCCAACTGCAAACACACACACACACACTCACACAGACACATACAGACCTACAGACTATTTCAATCCATTAATGGCTGCTTTCCCGGTCGCTGCACCTGGCAACTCTGTCAACGCGACAACGACTAATGCTTCTTGGGGGGGAAATGTGTTTCCTTTGTGCGAAGCAAGAATCAATCAGTCATCAATGAACATCAACTCTCAAAGCCCGTTGAAAGCAAAACCAAGCATTCCAATTGCTCAGGCACTATGCCATGCACTCCGACTTGGTGTCAGATGTACGCGCAGGAATATGTGTTGCTATAGGAAACAGATTTGCTACATATGAGCGCACCTTGGCCTACACAGGAGTCAAGGAAGAGATCAAGGCTTGAAGGGCTCTGACTCATAGTAGAACTAGATGAGAAGGCTGTTCAGTAGTATTTTTCCTCCCTATTTTGCATTGCATTTGGGGAGGCCTGCACCTTTGCTCCTCCGACAAGCGGAATTTCCTTCGCCGATTTCTTGGACTTGGAGCTTTCACAATATTTCACAGAGATACTTCAGCAACGAAGTGGCTTCTCTGCCGTCAGGTGTCTTCCATGACGGGTTCAGTTGAGAAGGAAGAAGTCACGAAGGAGGGCTACTGGTTGAGTGGGGTTGCTAAGTCGAGTTCTTTTTCCTGCATGACACTTCAATCCTGTCGACACCTGTCCACTTGTTCGACTTAATGTTTTGGCACCATGAGGCCACGACTCTGCAAAGCCTGTGAATTTCTGGGCTGCCGCTGCATCCTCAGAGCACTTTTGACCAGCTGAGTCAACAGTTCGACACAACAAGGGTGATGCTTGAGGCGAAGCACCTAGAAAAGATTGGCTGCAATGCGTTCATCGAGATAGGTCGCTTGCACAGCCGTTCCTGTCAGCTGTCAAAGAGCAATCATGTTGGGGTGGAATACTTGCACTCAGACGAAACACCAAGAACGCAAGTGCATACGGTACACGGATGTACACGGTACATACTGCACACTGTACATACTCTCTGAGTCGTCAACATGGAAGTGTAAAAACACCTGTTTTTAGAACATCAGAATAAGGATCTTCCAGGGGCCTAAGAATATGAATGTCTATATATATATGTATACTATATTTGTTACTGTAAATATAATGTTAGGAACAGTTTTGGCTATTCCATTTGGCAGCATGACATGGGGCACAAACCTGTCTCAACATGTTCAGCTCTTGAACCACAAAGAAGTCGGTGTGTTGGAACGTGGGAGCCCTTGCGTCCCAGGGCCAGGAAGTAAGCCAGGTACATAGACCAGCAGGGAGGAAGGAAGGAATACCTTATACACAGAGGATCACACACAGGCATTTGCTAGATGTGTGGGAACTGTTGGATTTTCGAGCCTGGGTGTTTTGAACACTTTTCATTTAATCGGATTTAGATTTGTCAGACGTTGCAAGTGCAAGAGCCATTTGTTAGTGAGTAAGCTGGACCATGCAACCCTGGCAAGTTCCAAGCACCTGCAAACCAGACCACAGGCACATGGTGATTTTTGAGTGTATCTATTTTTGTGCATACAGGTGTGCGTGTCTCTCCGTTTTGATAGAAATGATGGAGTGGTTTTTTGTTTCGCCTTGGACATATTCTTGGGGTGTCGTTTAGAAGCAGCCCCGCTCCATACTGTGCAGCGAGGGCGCTAGGTTGGCACAAGAAATGTATATCTTGCACCCGGCTGGACAACATGCACCTGATGACGGTCCCCTGGTCCATGATCCAAATCATGTAATGGCCTGTAGTACGTAGCCTTTGTGCATCGCTCTCCGAAGTCTTGAAGACGCGTCGAGGAGGTAAGAGAAAAGGAAGACACTTGTCTCCACCACACTTTTTTAGAATACCTTTTGGGAATGTTTGGACAAGCGCCGATAAGGTGCACATGTATATAGAAATATTAAATATACGTATAACTACATATATAATGGTGCTGAAGTTCCATTGTATACCAAAAAGTATATTCTCCCGACAATGTGAGCAAATCCATCTATATATCTGAGATATATCTGTGTATGCATTTCATGCAGAGTTTTGGGGTCTGATTGCAAGTCTGTACCTTCTGCCTTCACAACCTTCAGCATTCAGCATTGCAAGGCTCCAGACCCGTGCATTGCCAGCTGGTTTTTGAAGCTTTTGAATTGGTGAATGTTGGTCACTTCCTGACAAGGATTGATTGCTTTTCACGTTTGAGTACCCAGAGTGTTTGTAGAGCACTTTTGTGCAGCAACCCGAAGTCTTGGATTGGTCGTGGAAAGATGTGCCAGGCTAACTCGTTTGGCGCAAACCTTTTGCCAGGCCCGCCTCAACTGAGCACATATGCCAACCAACTCACTGGGGAGTAACGCTATGTATAGAATCTGCTGTAGGGTTAACACCGAATCTATGCCAATGTTCAATCATTTTCACATTGCTCTCAGGTACCAGGGGCCATGTGGCTCACAACTCTTGAGATTGCGCCTTATCGCTTCAGTTTCTGATCCGGTTTGTGCATAGGGAAATAACACCACCAAGGCCGGAACGCGAGGAGACCGAGTCGCTGCTCTCCACTTGCCGCGCATTGCAGGCTGAGCTTGTTGCAGGGAGACAGGAGATCTGGGAAGTAGAATAGCACACTGTGATCATTGTGCTTCCGCTTTTGGTACTTTGTTTTGAACTTTCCCTTCCTGAGGGTGTCCAAAGCAAGGGCTGTGAGTTGCAGCCACAGCGATTCCCCTGGGCACAGGCCCCAGAAATTTTGCCGCTGCAGTTTGTTCTGCGCATCGCTCATGCGACAAGCCATTCAGTCTGCCAAACCCAATCTTTGCATTTGGAACTAACGAGGTGAAACCGCTTCTACATCCTTTGCTTGGCTCGCTGCAGCAGACTGGGCAGGCACCTGGAGAGTTGAAGAATTGGGCGGGGCCGGCTGTGTCGGCATTGCTTTGGTGTTCCGGATAGCTTCCTCTTACAGAGACCCTCTACTCGCGTCACGTGCGAGTCAGGTTTGCAGCATCCAATCCAAGACCCTACTCCGTGATGCCGACGCTGCGCCACCGGCGGTTCGCCTCTTCCGTCAACACCGCGCGACCAAGCATTGAAATGTCAGACACGGTTCCGGGATCGGAAAGCTGCAGCGTGTTTGATAAAGATCTGAAAGCAAAATCATTTCGGTTCGGATCAACCTGATCCCAACCTGACATTCGTCGACATCCTGAGTTTCTTCATGTTTCTTCACTGTCGACTCGCTGAGGTTGACGGAGAAGCTGTGCTGCCTGCAGCATCGCACCTCTTATTGATGGCAGCTGGTCATCTAAAAGTAGATCATGAGACAAATGGTTCAAAGCCCCTTGGCACATCGCTTTCCAGACCTTTCCAGATGCAACAATATCATAATCTCCTGATGTCCTGAAAAATGTATGGCACATCTACCCAGGCTAACATTTCTACTGGAAAGCTCCGGCTATTCTCCCAGTTTGCCTGCTGAGGTAAAGCCGATAGTATTTGTTTTCATACTGAACCAACCGGGTGGCTATCCGATTGAAATGTTCTGTTCCATTACTATGATTTTGTTATTTTGTTGATGCTTTTTCAACTTTATCGGGACAAGTTCGGGTGTGAGGTAGAACCCGCGATTTACTCGTGCTTCTCCAACAATGCCCTGCTAATCTGTGAGCTCTTGAACAACCCTATATTTTCAATCCGTGCTTTACCCGTGCTCGACCCGTCATTTATATAATTTCTACTATCATTTAACCGCGATAACCCATAACAATTGTCACGGGTTTGGAGGTTGGGTTTTGAATGACACTATTCTCAACACCTGAGCAAGAAATTGCCCCGGGTTTTCCAATAAACACCCCAGCCGGGTACTTTAGAGGGACCCTAGGTTTTCTTGATATTGGCTCGAAAGGAGCTGCCGCCTTGTATCTGAATGACAAGTGCCTGCAAGGTTGTCTTTGGGGGCGAGCTATTTCGTTGAGCTTGAGGACCCTTTCAGAATGCGTGGGGTTCAAAGGGTGCTGTGGCTTGTGTCGACAGTGTTCGTCTAGACCTTTCCCATGCTTTTGAGAGGACATCACTTTCGAGCAGCTCTTTGCTTTGCCCGGTCCTTCGGAGGAAGCTGTCCAGGCTGAAGTTCGAATAGAGCCTGAAGGGGGCGAAGGTCTCCAGCTCCGAAGTCGAACCCCCTCTATCCCCTCAGAGTACAAGATCCACGCTCGCTCCAGACGTGCCCGAGTCAAGGCTGCAGACTTTCAGGGAAAACATGGGAAAAGACACAGTTGATCTCAGCTGTTTTTCACCTTTGAGTTCTCTGGGAAGTCTACGGTTAAGCTACCCGCTCACTTGAATGCGATAGAGCATGGGATCCGACAGACAGGTGATGCTGAGTTTTAGAGAACACACTTAGGCGCTGGTCCAGGTTCTAAGATGTTCTGAGCAAGACGATACGTTTTGATTGGAATAGGTTGAATGATCCGAGAGACAGAGGGCATCACAAGGAAACAAAGCGGCCGGGGGTAACCGGGCCGATGCCGCGGTACCCCTCTGTGTGGGCTTCAGCCAATGTCGTCGAAGTGGACAAAAGTAGTAAGCCGCAATCCTTCGGATGAAAAAATCCTGAGCTACTAAGGAGTGGTGGGGGGACCAGGAGCCCGCGGAGCCATACTGCAGCAAAGCCTTACCGAGTGGAAAAGCAAATGCAAGCTGCGCGGGCCTGATGCCTACAGGACCTAGACTCGACCTCACAAGTGCAGAGAATCAGAAGATTAGATATATTGAAGAAGTAAACAAATGGTAGATAGAAATCATATGACAGTTAGGGACGGGAGGTTCTCTGAAGGGTTCAAGTGGTTGTGTTCAGCTTGGATAGTGTATGTTCGCAGGCATCAACTTGCGCGAACAAATTTCAATTATGTTCGCGCATGTTGAGTCTTTGCAAAGGCTCTCAATGATGAGTTGTATGTGAGGCATGTATGCAAACTGCTTGTAATTCTGTGCGAAAGAAGCACGTCCATGTGCTCGAAACCAAATGTCTCGCCATGGAAAAATGACTTGGTGCATTTTACACTGTAAGCAGTGTATTCTGAGGGTGTCAAAAATGAGGTCCGTGGTGAGTCGCGTGCTTTGTGTCTTTTTCACAGCGACCACAACGCCTGTTTGAAACAGTGGGGTGGTGCACTGAGGCCCTTTGCCTTTGAGCGAAAAAGGGCCAGTGGACCAGAACGACTTCTAGACCAGGCCAGTTTGTTGAGTCTATGACCTACCAACAGGCTGCGATGTTCAAATGATCAAATGAAACAGAAGCAGAGTTGATCAATAAATTGGCCCAGCGTAATTGGCCTTTGGAGACTGCTGCTACGAGGATCATGTTATGAAACCGATGACAGTGTCATGAAGCCGACGATCACGTTATGAAACCGATGATGACTCTGAGGCTGATGATAGGTGCTGCCCCATTTCCCCATCCCCCCACTGCCCCACCCCCCACCAGAATTTAGTTACATTGTCGTTGTCGCCCGATGACAATTTTTTGAAACCGATGACACCGATTGCCAATGATCGTATTTATGAAACCGATCGGGGCAGAGTCGGCCGAGAAGTCGATGGTCGAGGATGCCTTCGGGCTCACGGTTGAGGCGTCGTAGCACCGGGGAAAACGGCTTCAGATTTCAGGGCAGCATTTTGTCATTGCGCCAGCGAGTTCTGGCAGCAAATGCCGCACGGAAGGACCAATGGAGGTATCCGTTTTGCAGTACATTGGCCGGGCGGCTTCTCTCTTGACGGGGTTGGCCGAATCGTTGCAGGAGGAGCCCCTTTACCAGAAGTACAGCTTCGTCGCGAGGCCAAACCCTCAATACTTTTCAAGTTGATCTCGAATTTCAATTCCTTCCTGACGGAGTTGCGCGAGCAGCAACCGCAGGTACCGGACTCATTGTGTGGCTTGCGGGAGGCAGGCGTTGTGGTACAGATCGTGAACAGCGATGTTGGCGTCGGCAGCCCCATGGTGCCTTGGCGCGTCGCAGTGTACATATAGCTGGAGATCATGCTGGCTTGGTGAATGGGTGGCAGCTGACCGATAGCTTCCTGGCGTGCGTCGCACGTCCCCAAGGGGGAGGCCCCGTTTCGGTCAAGGTCGAGTACCAAGACCAACCCATCGGAGCACCCACTCCGATCAACAATCTGCAAGTTGAGTCGCCTCCCACCAACCAGCCGCATTGCGTCGCGGCAACAGGCGTTTCCTCAACTCCGCCTGCCGGTGGGAAAAAGCACGAGTTGGAGTTGCAGGGGCTTGCGATGCAATCAAGAGCCTATGGCGACCTTTGGGGCGCCCTCGGGCCAAACCAGTGCCATAGGCACGATCGAGAAGGCAAGGGAAACCAAAATGGACAACAACATAGCATAAACAGTGACGCGGTCGTTTGGCGCAACCCAGTGGTCTTCCCTTCGGACATTGCTACTTGGGACGCCATCCCTCTTCCCAAAGATGCCCGCCACATGCCCCGGAACGATGTTATGTGTATTATGACGGGCGCTGGCATCTTAGACCTGGGGGATGGAGACCTAGATGGTGACAAGGCCGTGGTCACCGCGGACATATCTTGTTGTGGCAAACGTCATGCTTTTCAACAAGTGTGGCGGCTCCTGCTAGTTTACATACATATATAGAAATCTTTGCAGTTGCTTCTAGCCTTCCTTGACGCAGATCGGTTCCTCGTCGACTTCGTCGGTCAAACGCCAGACGGCGCTGACTCTGTCTAGATACGATTTCTCTTTGGACAAACGTTGGCCCCATATTTTAGCGTTGGTTCCCCGGTTCCAGGTACAGTCTGTTAAAACCGATAAAATAAATACAAGTCGAAAACAAAAATACGACTGGAACATACAAATTCGCCAGTTGTATTTTTACAAAAGCACCTTTGACTTGTATTTTTCTATATATTGCCACTTAAGTACGCATTGATATGGGTGGGACACCGCAAGTTCGCCAACAAGTCCAAAGTACTGCGCCTGCCACAAAATTTGTACATCTCAGCCCCGATCTCCTGCACCTGTCACGAAAAGCCGACTTTGGACCACAAAGTGCGAGGTTTCCCTTGCGCCTGCCACAAAAAAGGATCACCAAGTCCAAAAATGCGCCCGGCGCCAACGAGAGCGCGCCTCCGTCAAGCGCATCCCGGGGCCAGCGTTTCGCGCGAATCTGCGCAGAGAAATTGCACTTGGAAATCTCAGAATTGAACTTTTCTGCAACGCTGCGCAGCCAAAACGCTGAGCCCAGAGAGTGTGCCCTGATCGAACCCGCGCTTTTTCACCTATCAGTTCAAGTTTAAAATACGAAGAATTGTTTTTCGTTATTGTTCAAAAATAATTCAAAAAACGAAAAGTACAGCCGCCCAAAAAGCGCAACAAAATCTGATCCGCAAAAAACACAAATTCGATCTGCGCAACCAAACGAAAATGGAACGAAAAATACGACCCACACAAATACAAACAAAGACAAAATTTGCCGAAACTGGCTGCAAAACCAAACTTTGCAAACTTTTGCGTCGATGAGGGTGCTTGCTGATTTTGCGGCCGGATTGCCTAGCTTTTATTTTGCCACAATGCAAAAAGGCAGCAAATTAGCGAACATGTTGTTTAAACGCGTAAAAGGACAATGTGATTCAAAATGCAATTGCCTTTGGCTATTTGCGTTGTGGCCCTCATTTGAGTATGTTGTTTGGGAGCCAGGGCCAGTTAGCGCGTAGAACCATGCAAAAAAGTTGTGTTTCAGGGTGTCGTGTTTTTTTGTTTTTTGGTTTTTGGTTTTTAATATTTTGGGGGTTCTTAGCCTTTACCCAACCTGAAAGCCGGGGATTCAATTTTAGCGCTGCCCCAAGGGCATTTTCAAAGTGGGGTGCGTCCTTCGTGTTTCAAACCAACCTACACATTCCGACAGGAGGTAAAGCAAGCTCTGCCTGATCGGCCGCAGACACCTTGTGTCAGCGCCTCCGATGTTCACGTTTTCTCGTTCCAGGTGCCAACCCTGCAACTCTGTCCAGAGACTTGCATACTGCAAGAACAGGGCAGTGTTGACCTTGAAATTTTTATTTTTGGCCCACGGGTGTCATCGAGCCTTGGACGCACCGAAGAAGGTGTGCCCGAATCAGGTTCAGGATGTGCCGAAGGCACCCAATTGGGTTTCGAAGCAACTCGGCCCCCTAAAACTACCAGAGCGCGAGAGAATCATTTCAACCGAATTCGACCTGTCAAAGCTCGAGCTCCATAATCCAATGAAGTGTGGCCGCCACTAATCAAAAACTACTGCGCAATACAATGTAAGACAATGTGCGACTGCTGGTACAAACCAAATTGTATAGGCGCAAACAACTTGGAAGGCAAAAGGCCCATTTCAACCTCTTTGTGTTTGCCATCAACTCGGCAACGTGTAGCAAAACCCTTACTGCTGGTTGGCCCTTTGTAAGATCATGGTTCAGCCCGACTCAATATATGCAGCAAGTCTGAGTGACAACCTAAGGGTAACAAGAAGAAGGAAGAAGGAGAAGGAGGAGGAGGAGGAGAAGAAGAAGAAGAACAAGAACAAGACCACGGACCAGGACGAGGACGAGGACGAGGAGGACGACGAGGAGGATGACGAGGAGGAGGAGGAGGAGGACGACGACGACGGCAACTAGAGCAACAAGACCAAGACCGCAACAACCAGAAACACACAAAATAGAAAATGGTAGCTCACTGCCATATAAGAAACACATATAGGGCCAAGTGACCATCTTTTGCGCAAACCAGCGCCGCTATGGTCACTGCAAAATCCGATTGCGAAACAAAGCAGTCCGAAAAGACATTTGATGAGACCGAAAACACGGATGACCCAACCGCATCCAGTCATCCGGCTACCCCAAAACTTGGGGCGCAGGCCAGGGGCGAGATCGCACGCGGTCGATCATATATGTTGTGATACCGATGATCATGTGTGCTGTGATGCCGATGATAATGCTATGAAGATGATACCTTCTCGGAGAACCCGCCGTTCCTATGAAGTCATCGTGTTTCATCGCAGTTGCGCGCACAAACATCGACTGAAGAAAGAAACCGAAACTTACAAAGCACGAACCCACTTCAGTCCTTGCATCAGGACTTTGGAACTTCGCAAGCTTCAGTATGGGCCCAGCTTCGCCACCATTGTGTCCTGGTCTTCGTTTGAAGGCCCTGCCTATTTGCGACTTGATGGGCTTCTGCCCTTTCTCCTTTTGAAATACTTGATCCTGTCAAGCCGAAACGCGCAGGACATGCGATGGCGCACTTGAGCTTGTCTTCTGCTGAAGCATGGGAATACTCCATTGGCTTGTTACACCCTGGGATTCTGGACGGTGCCTTTCAGCTTTTGGTGTTGACCCACAGCACCTTGCATCAAGAGGTACCAGAGACGGACACTCTCTTGCCTTTCAGTGTTGCCAACTGCGTCCTTGGGTCCCCAGCGGAGCTGACAGGAGATTGCTGGGCCACAGTACATGTCCAACGCCATGCACAGGATTTCGTGACGGGAATTGTTGAGGTCTCCAAGGATGGCTTGCTCATCGCACGCCTCACTGGAGCAACCATGCGCTGTCGAAAAACCAGGGTGCCAGTGGCGAAGCAAGAAGCGAATCCTATCGACGTGACTTTTGAGCTTTCATGGGATCCCTGGACACCACAGTCCTCTGATCAAGGGCTGCTTCGGCCGAAGGCACTTCTATGCTGCTCTGAGGAGAACGCGGGATGGTTGCGACGATCGCTATTGTGGGACTCTGAATGTTGTCATCAGGTTGCTGATTTGAGCACGATTGGTGAGAGATTGCGTTGCTTGGAGGCAAATGATGTGAACGTATGCAGGATGTAGCCGACGTAGTCCAAGCAGCAACGTAGCGTGTAACACAAGTCACTTGGTGCTGCGAGGTGCTGAAGAGTTTGACAAGCTGGCTTTTCTAGCAGAAGACGATCCCATGGAATCGCTGGTAAAGGCCCTGACATTCTTGCAAGTCGTACACCAAGGGTTGCAAGAAGGTGCAACGCGAGTTGAACGTCTCACCGTGCTTCTGGTGACCCAATGCACTCAGCCGCCTCAATTGGACCTGAGACTTGGCCAACTGAAGAGCCGTAGAATGGGATCCAAAGGCAAGGTCACAGGCAAAGAGAAAACAAATTCACTTCCGGCAGCCGGCTGTTTTCTGAGGAAAACTTATGATCCCCGTCACGCAGGGCTTTGGGGTCTCGCTCGATCAGCACGCTTGGAGTGTGATTTCCGAGTGGTCCTTCTGGATTTAACATGTGTAGCTCAGATGAGCTGGAGCTTTCGTTTCCGCAGAATGCAAGTCGTACAGATTGACATAGACGGTCAATTTCAATCTGAAGTGACCTGATGTGACTACACGACCAAGGAGTACCAATCAGACGACGCACAATTATCATCCAAAGTGTTCAACGAAGAAGAGGCCCACAATTGAACGTGCGTTGAGGGTTGTTCTTTCATCCCTACGGCGGCCCTCCAGCTGCCCTGGGCCGCTGCTTTTGACGTGTGTCTGACCTGTTCAGGAGGCTTGCATGCGTGAGAAGGTTCAGTACGTCTCAAGGCACATCGACGAACCCAGCTTTCTTTGTTTCTAATGGCAATGGCCTCCAACCTAATAGCACTGGCCTCCAACCTAGTAGCAATGGCCTCCAACCTAATAGCAATGGCCCCCAACCTAGTAGCAATGGCCTCTAGCCTAATAGTCATGGCCTCCAACCTAATAGCGATGGCCTCCAACCTAATAGCAATGGCCTCCAACCTAATACCAATGGCCTCCAACCTACCAGCAATGGCCTCCAATCTAATAGCAATGGCCTCCGACCTAATAGCGATGGCCTCGGACCTAATAGCAATGGCCTCCAACCTAAGAGTGGCGGCCTTCATTCTGCTTCTTTTTTTGACAACTTTCCTCAGCACCCGACTTATATATATATAGTATTGACCAACAGCCAGGCTGCGCCGAAGTGAATTACAGCCTACCTGGCCAATTCAGCAGCGCACTCAAAAACTAGACAACTGGGGAAATGAGAGACTAAGGATTAGTACATCTTCGTAGTTAGCAGGCTTACTGAGAGAAGTGAGAGTAGCTCAATTATGGTCAATCGTTTGGAGCTAATGCTAATGCTTAATTGCAATGGACAGCTTGGACAGCTTGCAAGCGTGACGTGGCCCATCGCGGCCCTTCAGGATGAGCCTGCCAAGTCGCGGAAGTCTTTCAGCCTTGACTGCGGAACCACAAGCTCGGAATTACCGCAGTCCGTCCCACCCAGCACCCGCACCTTTGCTGCGCCTCTCGGGCGCACTTTGTTGGTGGTGCGAGTGAAGTTCATGAGGACATATGAGGACTCACCAAGTTCCAAGAAGCCTCAGGTGTTGCAGCGGTGGGATTAAACTTCAGGGATGTCCTCAATGTCATGGGGCTGTATCCGGGTGATCCAGGCAGAACTCGAGTGCCTATCCTGAAACGTCAAGGTGAAGGTTGATTATTGTTATTTGTTGTTTTCTTGTTTCTGAAACATTCTTGAATCATCTAGAAGCTAGCACGGCTTGTTTGCAGGCGATCCTGGTCTTGACTGTAGCGGCATCGTTGCTCAATCTGATGACCGGCTGCCATTCGACCTTGGAGAGTCGGTTTTCGGCATCTCTTTCGGCTGTTTGCGAAGCTATGCGGACATCAAGGACGAAGCCTCGGCAGCGCCTGTCCCCCAGTTCCACCATGTTCCACCCATCCTCGGTTGCCCGTGACAATGGCCACTCCTTCCGACAGGAGCCCAAGCTCTTGGCCAAGCGGCCATTGAAGTGGTCTTTCACAGATGCGGCAGCATTGCCGACGGTCTTCGCGACGGTCGACGAAGCATTTCGAGATGCAGATCTGAAGGTGCGAGTGTTTGCAGCTGCCATTTGTATTTCCAAGGAAGAGCTTATAGACCTTTATAAACACTCATGAACAATTACAGTAAGTGTCTGAATGTGTGTGGATTCTGTTCGGTAAGTTTCTTTGAAGAGTGAAACTTTGTTTCATTTTGTTTCCCTGATTCATTGTTTGAGAACCTTTTTGAGGCCGGGCAGCGAGTGTTGGTGCATGCAGGAGCAGGCACCAGCTTTAACCAGCTCGATTTCCGAGTAGTCGCGAAATCCAGTCAAAGTAGTCCTTCCTCTTTTGATCAGGCGGGGTCGGCTTGACTGCTGTGCAATATGCTCTTCAACTTGGAGCTTTGGTTTATGCCACTGCAGGGCGTCAGGACGTTGACAGATTGCCTTGGTCTGTCTTATGCTGATCACATTGATACAGCCATGTGAGGAGAAGAAGCAGCATTTGCTGCAGATGGGTGTGAAGTTCGTGCCGCACTTACTCTTGCAGTCTTGTAAAAAAGATGCGCATGTGGAAGGGTTTCTTGCCAGGTGGCCAATTCGCGGGACGGCAAGATGTTTGAAGAAGAGCTCTGCAGCGAACTGGCAAACGGAGAGAAGATGGACGTTGTGCTCAATTCCCTGAGAGCCTCAGCTCCAACAGGACAACAGACTCCAAAGCTGTTCTGCTCCTGTTGAATCAATCATGAATCATAGCGCTGAAATCATGGCAGCTAAGGTCATGATAACTTTATTGGACGCTCCTTAGCCTTCCTTCGCGAGGGTGGCACTTTTGTGGAGATTGGAAAGCGGGGTATTTGGACGCAGGAGCAGATGCAGCAGCAACGACCGGACATTGTATACAAGGTACTGGCGATGGACACAATTTGTGAGCAAGAGCCAGATCGCTTCAACTCCTTGATGGTACGGCTTGTGAAGAGGCGTGTTTTTTTGTTTTTTTACGTCTCACTTGGTCCTTTGGTGTCCTTGGTAACTTGGTCCTCTAGAAAGTGTATGTAATCACTTTCCCTGTGTTTGCACAAAGTTGGGTGTAGTTATCCCAAGTAGTAAGCCACGTTGCTCATTGCAGGATGGAGACGGATTGGACAGCCTTACACTGCCAAGTCTTCGAAGGTTTGTCTCAATGCTCGGAAGCACTCCAAGTTCTCCGAAAAGCAGAGAAAATTGGAAAGCTCGTCATTTCCGTTCCCCCTTTGGTACATGATGGAACGTATGTCCTGAGCGGCGGAACTGGTGCGCTTGGGCTCTTCGTTGGACGAGCTTTGGTGGAAGAAGGTGCACAGGTGGCTTGCCTAAAGCCGTTACATGGCTATGTCGGGCCAAGTCTCTTTATTGGCAACAGACTTACTAACCGACATTAACTGACCAGATGACAACATGATCCCACTATTCCTAGGATCTGGTCCTGATCTCACGAAGTGGCGGAAAGGAGCTGGAACTTCAGAGGTCCGCAGCCAAAGTTCAAATCTGGCAATGCCACTCGTATGAATGAGACCTTAGTTGGCTCGGAACTGTGACACAGGGCAATTGCAATGACATGTTGCCTCAGCCGCATTCTTTCATCCAAGGTGACCTGGCTTCGAATGAAGCGGTTGATGTCTTGAAAGCACAGCTGGAGCGTGCACATAGCACACAAGCCATCAATGGAGTCTTTCACTTGGCTGGGCTTCTGCAAGATGGCATGCTTGGCCGTTTGGGACGAGCTGACCTGGAAGCAGTCTTTGGCCCGAAGGTCTATGGACTGAAGGTCTTGAAACACGTCAGCCCCTGAGCAGTATCTTGTTGTTGTGCCAATTGATACATCCCTACGCACCTGTACAAGTTCCTCAAGCGCCAAAATCACTCATCAAACGATTTGAAGCGCAATGATTACCTTCTGTTGAAACGTGACAATAAATTTGTGTTTGTGGAGTGCAACTTGCCCAAGGTGTTTGGTGAGAAGTTGGACTTTCTTTTGAGTTTCTCTTCCACAGCCTCCATTTTTGGAGCTGCTGGGCAGGGGAACTATGCAGCAGCTAATGCATGCATGGATGCTTGGATGTACAAATGGCGCAGGAGGCTCAGCTTGTGTTTCTTCATCAGAAAAGCACAAAAGCACAGTATAATGTACTATAACGCCTGGGAAACGACATCTACTTTGAACATCTTTGAACAGACTCTATTGATCTCTATTGAATGTTATGGCACTCAAAACGAGATAGTTAATTAGACTTCAAACAGCTTGAGAGGTGAAGGCGCCCGATGAGATGATGCCATAAGCGTTTTGAACACGTTTGAAACTTGATCAAAGGGTATAAATAAACGTGCACTTGCAAGGTCTTGAAGGTCTCAATGCGACAAGTCTTCAGTGGGGCGCGTGGATGGACATCGGCATGGCAGCGCAGCACGGCAGTTTCAAACACCTCTCACAGCAGGGAATCTCTAGGGACTTAGGCCGGTCGGGTGAGGAAGTGAGGAATTGGCATGTTCTACTCGCCCAGGAACAACAACAAGCGTTGTTTGAATACAGACATGTTAGGATTCATGGAATTCTGCCCTCAGGCATGGCTATGATAGTATCCGTGCTTCGAACGGGATGCTCTTTTAGCTCTCTCAGCTGCGCAAAAGTGGATTGGAATGCTTTCCTCAAGCCAGTGGGCTTTTGGCCTCCAAAATGCTTCTCCTACATGCATGTGGAAAAGGACAATGGACAGAGAAGCCTTGAACAAACAATGGATGGGCAATTCAAAGCTGTCCAGACATTGGAATGGGTTGTATCTGTGGCATTTGATGTCATCGGCGAGCTGGAAGCAGACGATCCATTGATGTCTGCTGGCATGGATTCACTATCCGCTGTGGAGTTTCGTCGTCGGCTTTCATCTGAGAGGGACATCAACTTGCCAAGTACTTTGGCCTTCGACTACCCAACAGCTCGAGCGATTGCTGGATTTGTGGACTTGCAGAGCAAGCCGATCCAAGGTACTCAAAGTGCCTTCGAGCCTTCCACGGTTCAAAGCATCTACTTCACTGGCACAGCTTGCCGATTTCCTGGAAGCACAGCAAGCTCACCCCAACAAGCTTGGGAACATGTCTTCAAGATGCAACTTGATGCAGTGGCCGAGATCCCATTGCAACGCTTCGATGTCAACGAGTTCTTTGACAGCACAGGATCAGGTGTTGGATTTGTCACGTATGCTAGGCACGCGAGTTTCATTGACGGAGTTGACCTCTTCGACAACCGATTCTTTGGAATTTCCAGCAATGAAGCAGCTGCCATTGACCCGCAGCAACGTCACAGTTTGGAGGTCGCATATGCTGCGTGTCACGCTGCGGGTCGATCTCGAAAGCAACTGATGAAGACGTCGACGGGAGTCTTCGTCGGGCAATGTGCGAACGACTGGGGTAAGACCTCCAAGGAGCGAAAGGCAGGGACCTTCATGGGTCCTGGAACCCACGCTGCTCTGCTTGAACAGAAGGTTTGAGAAGGTTTGATCTTTCAATTTTTCTCCAAACAGTTTGCTGTTAGGGGTTCTCAATTCTTTCTTAAGATGTGTCCGCCCTTTGTGTCACTGCTGGTGTCCGCCCTTTTCCGCTGGCCATGTAGCATTTCTGTTCATTTGTCCCCGAGGTCTGTCACTGCTGGTGTCCGCCCTTTCCGCTGGCGATGCAACATTTCTACTCATTCCACAAACAGTTTGCCGTTACGTAGGGTTTCTCAATTCTTTCTTAAGATGTGTCCGCCCTTTGTGTCACTGCTGGTGTCCGCCCATTCCGCGCCTGCACTGCTGGTGTCCGCCCTTTCCACTGGCCATGAAGCATTTCAATTCATTTGTTTCCCATGTAGTTTCTGTACTTCCCCAAACAGGTTACTGTTAGGGTTTCTAAATGCTTTCTAAGAGTGTCCGCCTTGCTGCCGGACAGCGTGTCTGCCTTCCGTCCGGCTTGTCTCTGTTGGTCTCCCTTCTTGTTGGTCACTGTGTCCCTCTTCTTGTTGGTCACTGTGTCCGCCTTGTCTCCCTTCTGTTTCCTTTGTCTCCCTTCTTGTCTCCCTTCTTGTTGGTCACTGTGTCCGCCTTGTCTCCCTTCATTCTTTCTTTGTCTCCGGTTTTGTCTCCCTTCTTGTGGGTCATTGTGTCCGTCTTGTCTCCCCTCTGTTGCCTTTTGTCTCCCTTCTTGTCTCCCTTCTTTTTTATCATTGTGTCCGTCTTGTCTCCCTTCTGTTATCTGTTGTCTCCTTTTTGTCTCCCTCTTGTTGGTCATTGTGTCCGCCTCGTCCCTTCTGTGGGTCACTGTGTCCGCCTTGTCTCCCTTCTCTTTCCTGTCATTGTGTCCGCCTTGTCTTTGTCTGCCTTCTTGTCTCCCTTCACTGTGTCCGCATGTCTTCCTTCTGTCCCCCTTGTTGTTGGTCACTGTGTCCGTCTTGTCTCCCTTCTGTTTCCTTTTGTCTCCCTTCTTGTTTCCCTTTTGGCTGGTCATTGTGTCCGCCTTGTCTTTGTCTGCCTTCTTGTCTCCCTTCACTGTGTCCGCATGTCTTCCTTCTGTCCCCCTTCTTGTTGGTCATTGTGTCCGCCTTGTCTCTGCGTTGTCTCCCTTCTGTCTCCCTTTGTCTCCGGTCTTGTCTCCCTTCTTGTTGGGCACTGTGTCCGTCTTGTCTCCCTTCTGTTTCCTTTTGTCTCCCTTCTTGTCTCCCTTGTTGTCCCCCTTCTTGTTAGTCATTGTGTCCGCCTTCTCTTCCTTTTTTCCTTTGCATGTGCCTCCTCTCTCCCCCTCTCGCTTGCAACCCTTCACATTTGTCTCCCAGCTGCTCTGCCCTGCAATCCTTTACACTTTACATTTGTCTCCCAGCTCTGCACTGCGTGTCGCTTGCAATCCTTTACATTTGTCTCCCAGCTCTGGACTGCTGTGTCCGCCTCTGCCTTGCAATCCTTTACATTTGTCTCCCAGCTCTGGGCTGCTGTGTCCGCCTCTGCCTTGCAATCCTTTACATTTGTCTCCCAGCGCTGGGCTGCTGTGTCCGCCTCTGCCTTGCAATCCTTTACATGTGTCCTCGCAAGCCTTTGCATTTGTCTCGCAGCTCTAGACTGCTGTATCCGCCTCTGCCTTGCAATCCTTTATTTGTCACCCAGCTCTGGGCTGCATGTCGCTTGCAATCCTTTACATTTGTCTCCCTGCTGTGGCCGCCTCTGCCTTGCAATCCTTTGTCTCCCAGCTCTGGACGTCGCAAGCTCTAGTTGCAGAGTGTTCCGATTTTGAAAAACACAAACTGTTTGGGGTCTACGGTGGTGTAATTTTTGAGGTAGGTGTAGTAGGCCGTGCATGGCCGTGCCTAGGTCCTTAAGCAACACCCAGGAAGAAACTAGCGTAGCTTAAGGGTTAAGCAGCTAGTCGAAAAAGATGCAACATGATGCAATAGAGCGAGAGTTCCTAGATCTCCAGGAAAACAGCGAAACAAGATGAAACAAGTCCTTCTACTTGGCCTTGGCAGCACTTTTCATGGCAACTTGAAGTCACGCCTAGGCCAGCATCTCCGCGAATCGCATCTCGTTCTGCCTTGGGCTTGAGGGTGTTAGTGCAACAGTGGATACGGCGTGCTCTTCAACCCTGGTTGCCTTGGATTTATCTTTGCAGCGTTTGGACCACCTGGATGCTGTCATTTGCAGTGGAGGTCAGATCAATTTGATCGCCGACTCTTGTTTGTGTGAACATCTTGGGCAGTGGATCAAGATGTTCTGTCATGGCCACACATGTTTCTTTGGAAAAACTGTTTCATGGCGACACATGGCCATCACCAAGGAACCTTTTGTCGCCTTCTCGAATGGGCGACTTCTCTCTGCAAGTGGTCGCTGTAGAACCTTCGATGCTTCGGCAGATGGCCGCTTTGACCGAAGGTTTTGGGGCAACGGGAGCCCAACAGACTGGAACCAAGGTGGCTTGATGATTACAGGCCCTGAGATGTCCAGAGGGCTCCCAACATATGCTGAATGTTTGCATCGTTCCATAGCCTCCAGCCTTCTTAAGGGTTGGCATTTGTTCACCGAGTTTTTCGCCAAGGATTCACAAGAGGTGAAGGCTTTGGAGCCTTTTTTTTGACCAAGGCAAGGAATTTCAACATTGTCAATCCTTCTAGATCCTTCTAGCAATCTTGGTTCTGATAGGTTCTGTCACCTGTTAATGCAGGATGGGCCGAGTGTAGTGGCCCCAGCTGGCTCCATGGCAAATCAGGACTCAGTCATTGCAGCCAACCACGAACAAGCTCAAGTGCCTTCACACTGTGACCTTTGATCGTTTGAAGGATGGGCGCAGCTCCTCCTTGACCGCTCCAAATGGACCTGCGCAGCAGCGAGCGATCACAGGGGCCTTGAAGCTGGCAGGTGAGGTCGACCAACCAAGAAAGATAAGCCAAGTGGATTGAAGTGAGATGAAGGGATCGAGATTGATTGAGTGCTTGTGGAAAGACAAGCATGGCTGGTCAATGGGCTTTCCAAGAATTTCCCCAAGCCCGTCCCCACTTCTGGGGGTTGAGAGATGCTCAGAGGCGCAGCTGGTACAGACATTGCAGCGGTGTGGCTGGCATGTCGCATGATGAGTGGTGTGAAGGGTGTGATGTGTCAGTGTAGCATGTGTAGCACATCATGTGTTCAAATACATAGTTACATAATCAATGAATATCAATGATTCCATGCTATTCCATGGCAGGTCGAGTGTCATGGTACTGGAACTGCACTGGGGGATCCCATTGAGGCAGGCCGACAGACCGATGAATATTTGATTCTTCGGATACTTGGGATATTGGATACTGCTCCAGTGTTGACTTTGGATATTTAACTCAGGAGATTGAGCGAACTCTGAAAGTTCCAGATTTGGTGCATGAGGTCCTTGACGGTAGACAGACCAGCCCAAGCTTGAGGTCGGGGCGTTGCGAGGAACTCTTCGTGAAAACCGGCGAGATGAATTGGCACTGATGGCCGGCAAGACCAATGTGGGCAAGCCCAGGCTTTGCCGAAGACGTCTTCACATTGACGCCGTGCAGCGGATGTTGTGATGGGAATGGCCACGTGTGTCACATGTGGAGTTGTGTAGACTCTGATGGCGAGACAATGATACTGCTCTGTGTTGCAGGTTGAAGAGGATTCTTTGTCACATCTCGAAGTATTTCAATCATTTGGATTCCTCAGAGTATTGATTCCTGGTGTTTCAAACCGAGAAAAAAGGCGATTCAAAAAGACTGAGGTTGGGCATTTGGAAGGGGCAGCTGGTGCTTTGGGTTTGGTGAAGTTGAGGCCTCAGGAGAAGAAGTGAAGTCTTTCTCTTGATGCGTCGCATTTTGTCGCTTCCCGGTCTCTCGAGGTGCATCAAGACATTGGAGCATGTTGAGGCTCCAAGATTCGCCATGGGATCTCTCAAGATTCCAGGTAGACGCTATTTGTTTTGCTGAAAACCATAGTTTGCCCAACAAGGTTTGTGCTTTCAAGGTGATTCTTTTGAGGTAGGCGAAGAGAATGATTTGTGGATGCGCAGCGTGCAACACAGGGCTGTTAGATAGGTCTTCAATTTCACCTGTATTGGCGAGCCAGACACAGCCGGGCCCAATCTAATAAGCCGAGATAGAAACAGGCTGAAAGCCCACTCATTCAGCAATCCAAATATGCATGAGAAGCATTGAGAAGCTACTAGGGGCTCCTAGCATCGCTACTAGGAGCAAGGACGCTACTTGGGGCTCCTGGCCTTACTACAAGGCTTTAAGGAACAATAAGCTACTACTAGGTAGGGGCAGCTGAGAAGAACTTTGCACCTCCATGCACCTCCGAATGTGACAGGTTTGTCTTTGTTGCCCCTTGCACTCCGGGGAAGCGGCGAGTCCTTTGTTTTGCTTGCATTCGTCGGAAATCCAGGTGCCGCCCAATGTGCACCTCGAAAAGCTGAACCCCCACATTGACCTGAAGGACCGTGCACGCTCGCTCGCGGTATTTGACGCGTTGAAGTCTCGTGCGTGGTCTTATGACGAGAATCGACAAAGCAAACCAAGTTCCTGGCAGGACTTTCTGGCAACGGTGCCTTGTTCCTCCAAGCCATTGACTGCTGCCTCAGCACCTAAGGCCTCGTGACCTGAATGGGCTGAGCATTCATCATGGCTGAGCTATTGACCTGGGATTTGACTCAGCTGGACGTGTTGCGCAGGTTGGTTTGTCCTCTTTCGGCTTTGGTGGTACCAATGCCCATGCCATCCTAGGGGTTCAAGAATCAAGTGAGAGGCAGGATGCATGGTGAGTGGCAGGCAAACTCTGCATCGTTGGATGCTCTGGAATTTCCTGGAACTAATTTGATTGAAGGTGATCACAATGTTGAAATTTCATCAGGATGCTGCAAGATTTACATGGAAAGGATCACCGGCCCTGCCCGTTTCTTCGTGTGTTTCGAGGACCAACAGAGCGGAAGAACTGCCAGAACTGAATTTCCGCAGTGTTTCTTTCCCGTGCCTGGCAACAGTTTGGGCCCCAGCAGGTAGTGGCGCGATTCGTGTGTTTGGCACGCGGAGATGGGAAACATATGGTTCATTTCCGAGTTTGTATCGAAATAATATGGATCTGTTTCCGTCTCATTCTTTTTGCAACTTTGCCGATGCCAAAGGCCATGTGGCAAGGAGAGCAATTGGAGGTTTCCATTGAAACATAATTATGATGTGGCGAGGTGCCCCGTCTTCTTTGTCTCTGCCGCAGCGGCCAGGAGAAAACATTCGAGGCACTAGGAGTAGGTCTAATGTTTGCGTGGAACAAGTGCATCGCTACTAGGAACAAGTGCATCGCTTCTAGTAACAAGTGCCTTACTAGTAGTAACACATAGCTATTAGAAACAAGTGCCTTACTACTAGTAACAATAAGAATTACAATTCTAATTAAATTCTTATTGTTACTAGTAGTAAGGCACTTGTTTCTAATAGCGAACATTGTTACTACTAGTAAGGCACCTGTTACTAGTAGAGTGGCACTTTACTAGTAGGCACTATTCAAGTCTCAGAATGTCTCAGAGTCGCATCATGCAGGTGCAACTCGACCTTGATCTGGCGAAGTTCAGCCGGACGGTTTGGGCCCGAAACATGCGTTCAGCCTGTCACCTTTTTATGCGACCTTCACCTCCCAAGAATTGCGAATCCAAAGCGGAAAGCAGATGTGAAGGTCCATGACAAGATACTGGTATCCTCGTCGCTGTTTTTGGCCCTTGTCCACTCCTCAGTCTTCTGCCACCTTTGCATGGGAGTAACTTGGTGCATCCTGATTGAGCGTTGCCGTTGGCGTAGGATACCTACAACCTCAGGCCATAGAGGGGTGCCAGCGCATCAAGCAACAGGCAGGGGCCTTAAGATTCCTGTTGTTTCCATGTCTCCCTGGCAGCCGTGGCACAAGCTCCTTTGTCTCTAAAGTCAGAGACAGTACGCAGGCAGCACAGCTGAAAGGAGTGAGAATCACCGCCGGCATCTTACTTTGTCACCGGTGGATTCGCCAACCTGTTTCGAAGCTGACTTTGCCGAGGCACCACTTATTTTGCCTCCTGAATACGATGGTCACAGCCTTACGGCTGTGTTGTGGGTTTTTGAGTTCGCAAAACCGATATTGTTGTGAGCTGCAGGCCACATCTGGCTGCGATTGTCCATCAGCGAGTCTCTTGGTTGCAGTGTGGGGTCAGGATGTGGTGATGCCCTTTCTGGATTGCACAAAACACAGATTGAGTTCTTCAGAGAAACGGCGGTCATTGAAGCGCTTCATATAGTACTTCAAGGATTTCTCCGTGATGCTTTGACTTTCGATCTGGCCTAGGCAACAGTTTGAAGTTTGCAGCAGGCATCGTTATTCTCAGAAGGTCAAGGACTCGTCGCCGCGCAATGAGTTCAGATGTGACTGCCTTGACATGAACTTTGCGCGAAACATCTATTCTGTTGCGAAGAGAAACTGTAAGCTTCATGCTTTGTGAACCATTGTGAACCAGCTCTCCATGTTCCCCAGCTCTCCATGTTTCACACGTTTCACACGTTTCTCCATATCGAAGAGAACCTCAAACCTTGGATTTTCAACTCCTGAGGCTTGGCTGGTGCATTGTGTTGGTCGCTTCAGCGTGCAGGCGCAGACCAATCCACTGGGCAGTTGTGGTGTTTCCCGCTGTTTTTTGAGACCTTCCAGGCTGCCACACGGCCGTCCAACTCTCAAGTTGACGGATTTGGCTTCTTTCGTGTTCTTTACTCTTTGTTGCTGCGTCGTTCGCCTTTGCTGCGTCGTTCTTTCCATTGTGTTTCTTGTCTTTGCTCACCAAGACAGGCGTTCCAAGTGGTCTCGGCGAAGGGAATGAATCTCCTACCTCCCAAACTTGTCTATTATTTATTAGTAGGCTTTCGTTGCCTCGCAGGAAGACTTGGGGATACAATGAAGCGATGAACGGGTGAATGGGGTTGTGTCGTGACGTATAGAGCCGTGAACGATCACCTATCGGATATCGGATCATACCAGTGCTACCCTCCCGTTCTGTTTCAATCTTGTCTTTAGAGCCCCGACATGATGCCTTTCGCCATTTGGGGCCGCTTCGCATAAAGGCCCACTCCCAGCCCCACCTCTTTTCCCGCTGCCAACTCATCGCTGGAAATGGGAGAATCCAGGCCAGCAGGAACGCTGAATAGCTTGAGCATCCTGGGATCTTCAGGCCTGCGACAGAGGCTGGGCATGGCTGGGCTACAGGGAATTGACGAAACTTGCATCATTGAATCTTGAACCTCACAGGCCAGCCCCACAACGAGGAAGCGAAAGCTTTGAGGCCGTGAAACTGCTTGGGCCATTGGGTTAACCAGATTCGCTGCAGGCGTTGTGCCGATCAGCTGAGCCTGTCGACGACTCGTTTGAGGAATGGTGTGCGGAACGCAGTCGATGGGTCGATGTTTGCTGAGCACAAACTGCGTGGTAGGAATTGAAGAGAAAGGCAACGGAGCAGGGTTTGCAGCTCTGTCCCACCCTAAACACAACACCTTGTGCAATAGAGCTGGTGACGCAACATATTTCGTTCTTTTTCCATGCCTCTCAGGCGACGACAGCGTCGCGTTGCTGAGTGACGTTCACGTTGGCAAGGGAGAGATTTGTGCACGCAGAGACCTTAGGTGACAAAAGGAATTGAGCACACCCGCATGAGGGCTACCTTGTTCGTATATCAGAGGTTTCTTGAGGGTCACTTCTTCAGGGGCACCTTGGATCATTTTTCGAGTAAACATGAACAAACTTGTTTCCAAAGTGGCGGCTCTAAGCTTGCATTGCTATTGTGCTGGTGTGCAAAAGGCCTTCTCTTTTAAAGGAGCTAAGCTGCCAACTTCTGATGTATGTCATCAGATGACTGTTTACCTTCAACTCTTTCTTTATTAAAGTTGATGTGTTTTGATATCTACGGTTTCATGGACTCCAACAAATTGAACCATTTCTGCACCACAGCCCCTGGCTGCTAGCATTGTTTGATGTATTGAAGCAAAAGGGCTTCCCGGACATGTTTGACCTGACTGTTTTTCTTGACCCAATTTGTTGTTCAGACATAAGACGCCTAAAGGCTGCAAAATAACAACATGGGCACATATTGTCAGACTTCTGCTGTGACGATACTTGTGTGACAGGATGATAATGTTCTTGTATCCACCACACTGTTCCAAGAACGATGTCAAAGCAGCAAGAAGACCCTCGGCCATGACTCGATGACAACCGTTAGTGGTGTTATTGATGGAAGAGAAGGCAGTAGTTGGTGGGGCAATGTTGCGACAAGTGTGATGCAACTCTGAGTTCCAACTGGTATATTTGTCGACGGCAATGTGTCAATGATGAATGAAGCACATGTGATCAAATTGGATCAGACTGCCAAACATTGAGGTGTGAAAGTCCCTGCAGATGTCGCTGCCTTCACGGTGTGGGTCTCCAGGGATGGAAAGATGAAAGTCAAGCTTCCCTAAAAATCTAGGAACCAAATGAATCAGCGTCCTGTACCTACTAGCTACCTCTCTCTCGCCTACTTAATACGGAGGCGGGGGAGCGGGTAAAAACAAAAATGAAGTGGAACCGACTGGAAGTGAGGCACATCCGGCGCTTTTGGATGTCTTGCAGACCGCTGTGTGACGCTCACCGATCAGTCTTCGAGAAGACTCAGAAAGTTAGAAAAAGACTCAATCAGTCTTTCAGAGTTTGCTGACAGGTCTTGGCTTTCGCAGTCTTCGGGGAGTCCAAACAGCTCGCGCAGGAGACGTTGGTGATGTTTGGCGATGTTTCGTACTTCGGTGATTGAAGGAAATATGTTGGGCAAGCAGGACCTTACCTCTGTAGCATCCTTCTCAGTGCCTTCCCAGGACAGAAACCGAGCAGCACTGACAGTTTCTTATACAATCTTATTTTCCTTTTTCTTGCATAGGAAACTCGTGGTGCGATGAAGAAGTTGCATTTGTGCAATTCCCACTTTGACGGAGGAGATACCGAAAGGCACTGAATACTTGATCCTACATGCTCGTGAGCGACGATATGGCATCAGCCCTGACAGGTGTGTGTGTGTGTGTGTGTGCGCGCCAAAGTTCATTGTGAAAGTATATTTATTACGTGCCTCATCTTGACATCTTGAATGATGTTGTATTGATTGCTGCTTTCACATGCTTTCACTTCACAAGATATTGTAGATGCCCTCAACATAGACAGCCTGATTATTCATTGGATTAACTAGGATATGGAATGAAGTCGACCAAATACAACAGACACGCATGAAGCGATAGCCTTGAACAGTCCACGTTGCAATCCTGTGCAGTTTGAGTGCCTCATGCACCGTGAGTGTGGATCGAGGGCCTGTCCTGCTCGATGTCCAGGAGTGGGGCTGAAGAGCAGACAAAAGAGCCATGGCCTTCGCTCCAAAACACAGTGTTCGAGTGTTCGATGTCCTCCAGGAGTTGCAGCTCCGGCCAGTGAACTGGCGGCAGGCTATTGGAGGGTTTGTGCTCATGATGGTCATGGGATGTCATTGGTCAAGTTCTTGTTTACCTTTCTGCCACAAATGCCGAGCACTTTGAGTGTGTGACCAGTGCACGAGTGGCCCTACTGTTGTAAAATTATAAAAACACTACTGTATTTTGTTAGCGGCATTCTGCTGTTATTTTCCGCATATGCTCACGGAATTCCTGTGTTTCAACGGAGCAGGTGTCTCAGTCTCTGACTCCGGTAGCGGAGTCTGAGTCGGAGTCTTACATCGCATGGGGTGTATACAAGGATAGACACACTTCAGATCAATTGTCAACGATGCAATGACCGCAGCTTTGAGGCTGGCCGTTCCTAGCTTGTATGAGCTCCAGTGGTCTCCAGCGTCATCCTCTGGCAGGCTTCGGCAACTCATTTGTGTGACAACCATGATAAAAATAACATGATGTCAAAACGCCTCAGGACTTTCATAGAGGAAGGCCATGGGCCTCAGGTTCCGCGTCTCAATTTTGCAGAAGAAATGCTGACGAAACGAGGTGGCAAGTGGCTCCTCTTCTGTCCTGGAGATCAAGAGCTTGCTGAAGGATTGCAGCAAGCCATTGAGAAGGAGAAGGCACAGAAGACAGACGAGGCTGATGAGATGTTTGGATCACGACATCCAAGACCGAACGGCGTTCATCAAAAAAGAGGCTCCCAAAGAGTGTTCTTTCCGAACCGAGCCAGCTTTCATCAGATTTCAAGTCGATCCGTTGTCCTGCATCAAACTTTGTGGGTCAGCGCAATCATGTTTGCCAGGGCAGAGCACCAGAGGACAAAGAGGAAGATGACAGTGATAGCGACAAGGGCAGTGCAGGGAGTGAAGAAGATGTAGAGGCCTGCTGAGATACTCAGACATAGAGCTGAAACGTTCTGTCTTGCTGGAAGGCGAGATTATCAGCGTCTTCCTGTGCCTCAAGCGCGCGGAGGCTTTTTGCCAATTCAGTGTTGGATTTTGAGACAGTAAAGTCTCTCATCTTTGCAACACACAGCCATGCTCAATTGTGGCCGCTTTGTGGCTTGCAAATCTTGCAACAAGAACAGCCAGCAACTGCGCAAGTCGTGCCAGTGAGATTGTAACAGATTGAATGGGATGTATAGCAACCTCAGAGCAAAAACTATAGTAGACGTTCTTCAGGAGATTGATTGTTCCATCCTTTTCGGCGGGTCCGAGCCAACGAATTTTTAACGCATCAGTCCAATTCAAGTCACATAACTTCGTGACTTCGCGGCCTGAACTGGTCCCTTCCGCCATCGTGGACCATGCGGGCACCATGCAACCAAAGGAGATTTGGCTCGTGGCGCGTTTGGGTCCTCGCATTGATGAGCTGGCACGGTCATTGAGAGCGGCATTTTCGCTTGGAGCCTCATGCCGCGTTTCTTGGAAGTCAGCTGAAGGGGCATCAAATTCAATGCCAAAGAGAAACCATGTTCGAAGGCTGCATGTGTGTCCGCAGCAGCGCTGCAAGATGACAAGGATACTAGAAACAAGTAGTTACTGGCGTCCGGGTAATTTTCCTTCTAGCGTATTTATACTCGACCAGTGGTGGAACAGATGTCCCTAGTGCAGTGCGTGCATATTCAGCCTGTTGGCATTCATTTAACCAACTTGTGAGGAGTACGGCAAAATGGCCAAAAGCTAACAAATCAAGCTTGGCTGAGACAGCGAGAGCGACCTGCTTCAAGGTCATCCTCATCCAAGATAGCTCTCACTATGTCCTTCACTTGCAACCAGCAGATCTATCCAAAGCAATCTCAGAAGAGGCCTGAACTGTCACGCTTTGTTTCTGCGGATCCTCAAGCTCGTGTTATCACCATTGTTTTACACACCTGAACGGCCAAGCACCGCTGTCGCAACTTGGGTTTGTCAGGAGATTGTTGATTGCATCCAATGCTGGACCAAATCAGAGGCCAGGCACCGGACTGCCCGAAGAGAACACACCCGATGACGGGATCGGTGTTCTTTCGCCGTTGCACAGGCAATGGGCCTCGACGCTGCAGTCGAGTGCCTCGTGGCCAAGAACTTGGGATCAGTGGTGTTCCTGGATGAGACTGCTGAGGACCCTGGACACCCCCAATGTTGCTCAGCCCCACGCTACCTGCCATTTTTTGGGCCAGGAAGATTGGAGCTGGGCCGCACCGCAGCTCCCAGAAGCTGTTTGCCTTGGAGTTCATGAGGATTTTGACGCTGTCGCCAGCAACTCGTAAGCCCCGTCCCTCTTTACTCTCAGAGGTCTTTTTCCAAGTGCATTGTTAATATAGATCATCAGATTGGTTTGCAACATTTATGTAATTTGCAACCGCCCTTCATGGTAAGGCTATTTTGTCTCCGCGCTCAAACAGAGCCTTACCGCAGGATTTTGATGCAGAAGTCCAAGCAGTACGGCGAGCGGTTGGCTCACGTGCTTGTGCCGCACAACTGGGCCCTGTTGCCTTGCACTCGTCAGTGTCCTGAGCTGAGGAAGCGGGAGGGCACTCCGTTTTGAGCATGCATGCCTAGACTAGAGCTTCATTTGATTTCTGACCGAATATATTGTAATTAACCCTCACGTAGGACATTCAATAGGATAGTCACATAGTCATTAGATGTCATTGGAACATGCCATTGGATTTGTTTCTGGAGACCTCAATCAAGCTTTGTCGCCTGCGCAACAACACTAGTCCTGTGGCACGTGGTGGTACTCGTAGGCAAGAAAGTGCGAGCCAAGGGGTATGATTGAACCAATATTGTTGCTTAGTTGCTTAGCATCATCCTGGGGAGCATTCAAGCATTCACGAAAACTTGACAAGACCTATAGTGCAGCTCTCAAATCGTAAATGGACTTTGAATGTGATGTTGCTGATGTGGGGTTGACACACCATTTCCCTAGGTTCATAATCCCCAGCACCATTGCACATGCTGGGGCCCTCAAGAGAAGATAGGTTGAAGGTCCGTGCAATGCGCTCCTGAGCCTGCTCAGGCTTGTCTTCACATCCTTTCCTCCGTGCGTGTGGGGCATGCGCAAAAGCCGTTGGCTCCGGTGCGGCCAGCAGTAGTTCAGCTCAGCAGTGCTCCGCGAGCAGCATCAGCAAGACGGGACTTTAGTGAAAGTGTGAGAGCCGATGTTGATGACCCCAGACATCGAACACCAACCTTGGGGCGACTAGTTTCTCAAGTGTTGGTTTTTCCTCGAGCAGCATGAGGGGACAGCTGTCTTGCCAATGAGATTCCAATTCACAAAGTGCAATAATTAATCCTTTGTGGTATAGAGTTTGGGAGCACTGTGATTGGAGGGCAGTGGTTCTTCCGCATGTTCTCGCGGCAATCTACGTAGGAGCGGACTGAGGGTTGGCCGTGGGAATGGATTCAGCTGCAGCTTGTTTCTGAGCCGCAGGAAACTTCAGGCGGGCTTTGCCCCGCAGGCAACCCCTGCGCTTTCTGTTGCAACTGGATGGTCATCCGCTTGCCACACCTGCAATCAGAGCTGAGGTCCACCAGGACACGGCCAATTTCCACATACAGATACAGTAATCATGCAGAGTCCATTTGAGATGTAAAAATTACATAAAAACATATATGCTATACATAGTATAAAAATGTATAAAATTATTTGATTTTATATGAATATTTCAGTATCTCAGTGAATCCAATCTGGCATGTTTGCGGAGGCCATAGTTGCTGCGTGCCTGGTGTCCAAGAGTGTCTACGACGAAGCTCGACTTGGTAGGCACTCCACTTGGCTGAAACGGATCAACCAAAGAGACCAGACACGGGTGAAGCAGAGGCATCATCGAACACAATGGAACACACACACAACCCCCCAAAAGCGGTCAAGATCCCACACGTTCAAACTCGACGAGTTCAGTACTAGTAGCAAGGACGCTATTAGGTGGAGGCCATCGCGACTATGTTGGGTGAAGAGCCAACCGAGGGAGGAAGACACGAGACACGAAGCTGAGGAACGTGACACGAAGCTCCTTCTGGCTTGGCACGAGCCTGCGGAGCCCGAAGGGAGGGCCCTCACAGTGGATCGAAGCCTTTTGGGACTTTCCAAAGCTCGGCTGGTGCCCTCTGAGAGTCAAGTGCTCGAGGCCTTGCAAGTGACCCTTCAGCTTGAGCTATGCCAGTGTAGGCATATATAGATATAAATATCTAGGCTATATGAATGAATGCTATGCATTATTTTCCTCTTCCATAATTGTCTTTCTCAACTTGGTTTGTTGTCATCTCTCTGTCTTATGGATCTTGATCCCATCATTAAGACTAATTAAGATAGACCAATCTTGGACCGAATGAATTCTTTAAGGAAGATGAAGGAGGCTGCATCTCTCCAGAGAAGCGTTGAGGACTTGCTAGATGAGGCGGCGCGTTTGAGCTTCCGACCACCAGTGGTTGTCAAGGTCTCGCAGCTCTTTGAGGATTCTGAGGAGTTGCCCAAGTGGAAAAGCCAGAGAAGCTGGCCAACAGATCCGCCAATTTTCCTATGCATCAACTGGAATGGTGCCATGAATGCCTTCGGTGCCTTGCGAGGGACTTGCCTAGGCGTGCCAGTGGCCCAGCAGTGACTAGATGTCCAACGCTCTTTTATATTACTATATTCTGTTTCAGGTTTGCAATCATGTCTGCATCCCTTCGTATCCTTCGTTTTAAGGCTGGCAGTCCAGCGAAAATCATCGTGACCTTGCAACACTGGCACAACTTGGGAGTGCTCCCTGCGACAGTTACGCCTCGCCCAGCGCTCCCCTCTAGAAGTGAAGAAGAGCTGGAGAAAGACCTTGCCAGATTGGTTCCACAACCCGGAAAGGATGTCCACTTGAACGCGCCGGTGTCATTCAAAGGTCGCGTCATTGGTCGAGTTCGCATGGGCCATGTGCTCTTTGCAGAATGTGGGAAGGCGAAAGTGATGTGTAAAGAACAACGCCTGCAAAGCTCTTTCCACGTTGCCATAAATGAGCTCCGGGTTGGAGATACTCTCTATTGCACGGGCTATCCAGGTTTTGAATACAAGTGTGAGCCTGTGATTTTCGCCACAGAACTCTTGGCCATTGAACCCGGAAGCGAGCAACGAGAATCAGAGCAGACTACATTGTCAGGGGCTGAGTCGTTCTTTCATCAACAGAGTAATGCACTTGGCGATGTCAGACCATGAGGTTTCGTGACGACGACTTGCTGGTCATTGAAAAGCCGGCAGGAAAGCTTGCCTGGGAGGATAACAGACACCGCAATGAGCGCGGAACAGCCGTGAAAGTTGATGCAGATTCTCGTTCAAGAAAAAAGTAATTACAAAATTGGTGTAGCGATTCGTTTCTTTAAAGAAAATCATCTTTTTTGCTGCCAAGGACAACCTTCTAATGGCTCCGGAGATTGAAGTTAGTGGTCCTGCAGTCTACGCATTTGAGCAGCTTGCCATCACACACTGCGCTCTTGAGTACACAGTGCTTGTGGCAGGATCTCCACGCGAGGTGACTTGCATTGCAAGGGTGTGGACAGTATGGAGTAGGCTTGAAAACAGGCTCAGAGGGAGTCTGGCTAAACATCATTGAGGGAAGTTCAAAGATGTTCAAAGAGCATGTCCAATCAATCCGACACGTGTTTTCATTTCGGAGATCCATTGATCCTGCTTTTGTCCATATCCGGTTTGCTTGGATCTGGCTAAAAGCACCTGCTTCCTGCCTGGCCTCAACAGCCGGTAGGCGCTTGCTAGATTTGCAAGGCATAAAGAGGCTCCGCATATCTCCACATTGAAACAGAACCAGTTCGTGGTTGACAGGGCCAACGTAGATCGACTGGTCGAGCAGGGTTAAACTTTTCATTGCAGGCCGAGTGAACAGCTCTTCGAAGAGCTACATCAACAGACGATTGTCGTTCAGCCTCTCAAATACAGCCATCCGATCAGGATCTACAACCTCCAAACCAGCTTGTTTTGTTCCTGCGACTCGCAAAACATGGTTTCGAAGGACATCTGCTGATGGTCCGTGCAAACATGAGTTGGGTAAGGTACCCGCCGTTTTTCCACCCCTTGTCATGCTTGTTTGAAGTGTTGACATGTTTGCTCTCCACAGGAAGCGTAAAGGTGCCATAATGTACAGGTGATGGAAGGACACTTGCAAAGTTTCTTGAACGCGCTGCGTAGCGGTGACAGCAGAGTATGGCAGAGTTTCCAGTCTCAATGCTTGCCACAAACATCACAAACACTTCAAAGTGAATTGAGAAAGCAAGTGAGTTGGATCAGGTTCAACTCACATGTGTCTATGTACTGGGCTTTGAGGGATTGAAGTGGTCGAAGCTTCACTCTGTGGTAAATTGAGCTCTTTCGATTACACACCAGTCCTTTCGTTTTTCAGCTGACTTTTGCAATTTGAGATTGGGTTGTACAGACCATCGATTCGTTTATCGCTTGTTGTCCCTCCCCCCTCAATTTTAATGTCAAAAGACTTTCTATGGCATTACAGATGGAGAAAGCATGAGAAAGAAAGCCTTGGTTTAATGGAAAGTCTCACCCAGCATTGCGCGATGATTGAGTCACTTATTAAGTGTTTTGTTCTATATCGTGACAGCACTAGTTCTATATCGCACTTAGGTCTCGTCAATCAGTGCAGCATTGCGCCCGGCACGTGGAAAACCCAAAGAAGATGCAGAGACACTGCTGGAAATGCTGTGGCAAGGAGAAGACTGACACATAGTTCTGCCCAATACATTTTGTTTAAATAAAACACATTTGTTTTAACCTGGTGCATTTCACACGCTGTTTTGTGCTTCAGGGTGGGCAGCAGTATCCCCCAACATGCCCCAACAGTAACACTTGCGGCATCTTGCGGCCTTGTTCAACGACATAGAGTCTGGTTCCAGAATTGTCTCTGCGACTTTGTTCGAAGTTGACATGTTCGACTTTGTTCGACATCAGGCTCACTCCTCAAAGCGACGGTCAATGGCACTGAAGTGAAGTCGCAGGTCTGCAGGCCACGGTCAATCGCGTTCCGGTCGGGGGTGAGGGGAGCATTCGACGCATTTGGCGACTGCTGAATGAGGCATCTACACATCCTTGGATTTCCAGTGTGGGGTGATCGTTCTTAGCTCAGCAGCTTTAGCAAGGCTTCGCATGGCTTGAGCCTGGCAATCAACTGTTGTTCACCCAGGTCGCTTTGGAAATCAACGAGCCAACCTTCGTTCTCGAGCTGTTTTTGGCCTTGCCAGACCCTGGTGCCACTTGACGCGCTTGGAGTTATGTGGAAGTTGGGGTGGCCTTCTGTGTGAAAGCCAGCCTCCGTCAGATCTCATGCGAGTTCGAAGCCCAGTCGATGATGTAGAATATTGGAAAGCAAGTTTTTTTCCAAAAGAATTGTACACAGATTCTGATCGCCATTTTTAGCATGGTTACAGCATCTTACAATTCTTTCACTCCTTTTGACTCAGGTCCTTGCTGCAGTTGGATGTGTATGGACCTTTCCATCTACCTTCTGCAAACGTCCACCTTTGTCAGACTTGTCTCACTTGGAGCAAGGACTCTCAATCTCATATTATTCGGTCATTCGCCCGCGTTGGAAAAAGTCTGCCTTCAAGCTCAAAAGTGATAGCTAGTTTGACCGGAGACAGTTCTGAGCTTCTGCCAGGTCACCAGTTTCAAAGAGCCCCACGACAATCTGTCAGGGCCCTGAACATATCCTAGACATTGCTAGATAGTGTAGATGGTTAGATTGCTGGTGAGCAAAGACTTGCTGAAGGTGACTTTCGATTCGAGGAATGTTTGTCATGGAGTTTGAAGACTCCATTCATGATGCATCGCCAGTTCCTGTCTCACCTACTCCCCTTCCAGGCACTGATACGCTGCCCGAAGAGCTTGAGAGCTTCGACAAGATTTTCCTTTTCGCATCAGGGCCCCCCAACTCCGATCGAGCTTTGGAAGCGCCTTGGAGGAACAATGTACACCTTTGTTTGTACAGTTAGGGTGTGTCCATGTGCGTCCCATTACCATCAAAAGAAGGTACTAATAGGAACCAGCCTCCACTGCTCCTGGCCATGGGATATTGTCCACATGTGTCATAATTCTTGGATGTCATGTGAGTTGAGGTTTTGGCTGCAGCGTTGCTTGTCATGAAGACGCTCTGGCAATTAGATGCAGCCTTAGCTCCATGGTCCATGACTACCCTAGGATAGTGAGGCAGTGACTTGTCGTTCCTGCACACCAAGGTGAACAGATCCAAGCCTGCTGAAATTTGGCTTCCAAGCTCAACCATGCGATTCAATCTCAAACAGCCTTGTCTTTGCGTAAGGCCAACCTAAGCAAAGTCCACCAAGTTGCCTTGGTCAACCATTGGGAGTCCCTGTCTTTGTTAATCGCTATACTTGACTGGTTGTTGGCAGTGGCTGTCAGGTTTGTTGTTGAAGGCACACAAGCCGCGCAGCTTGCTGGACACCCAGTGGTGCAGACCCACTTGGATATGGCGTGAGGGGTGCCTTGGGATATCGCTGGTGCCAGAGCACCAAGGAAGATTTGGCAAAGGCTTCCATCCCTTTCCATGGCGGCTTATGGGGTTTGGCTCGTTGTGCAAGGTTCATGCCTCAGTCATGGATGTCGTTTGCGGGTGCTGGCATTTCTTCTTCAGACAAAAGACCCTCTGCAGATTCCGCAGTTTTTGACTTGAGAAAAGAATCAACAACAATAATACTGCCTCCTGCTGCTTGTTCGGCTCGAGTTGCTGTCCGCGACGGTTTCTCTTGGTTCGATTGACTCTGGAACTTCGTCAGCATGGCTCCAATGAAGGCAATGAAGGCGATGAAGGCTATGAAGGCAATGAAGGCAATGGCCGCAATGAAAGCGATGAAAGGTGGCAAAGTCATGACAAAGGGAGCCCTGGCCTCCGAATTGGCTGAAGCCGCGGAGTTGAAGAAGGCTGAGGTCACCAAGCTATTGGAAGCACTGGCCGAGATTGGCACTAAGGAGGCATCTCGGACAAAGACGTCTCAAGTATTTTATGCTAATCCATAAATATGTTTTGTTGTTTTCAATGTGTGTCGTTGTGAAACATTCTGAGAGATTTAGGTGAAAAAGGCTGGCAAGTTCATCCTGCCTGGCCTTGCCATGATCAAGACTCGCCGCAAGAAGGCCACCAAGGGTGGAAAGAGGATGATGTTCGGCAAGGAGGTAAAGGTCAAGCCACAGCCTGCCAAGACCGTGGTGAAAGCGTTCCCCGTCGCAGCTTTGAAACAAGCTATTTGAGGCAGCTGACTGGTAGCAACTTGGGAGTTGCAAAACCAGGTTTTGGAGGCCAGCATGGTCTCATGTATATTTCACCACTTGAATGCCAGCTCCTGTGAATTGAGTCACTGGAGCTTGCAAGTTGCCAGTGT